GGGTCACCACACAAGTCTCACACACAAGTCTACCCAGGTCTCCCGGCGTCACCCGACATAGAGATAGAAATACACAGTCCACCATCAGAAGAGCAGCAACATCTCATCAGCGATGCTGGGATAGAAAATGATGGAGGCATCATTTTCTCAGGCGGCTGAGATACGATATTGGATGGTAAACAACCTAGATCTCTTCACCTTCCAAGAGTGGCAACTTCGGCGCAGACATACCTGATAAAGGAAGGCGAGGCAGACGCCATCACCTTACCTCCGATCGACTCGATTGCTGCGGTGCCACAGTATGTGGACACAGCCTACCATAAAGCCATAACAGTTCAAGCAGAGGCGTTATGTTCTTGGCATTAATAGATCTAGAGCGATCAATGAGATTCTTATCACCAGATTTAGGTGATCACGACTTCTGAAGATGATAGGATGATCTACTCGGCTCTACTTATGCAGAACCAGCAAGAACCACACCCTGTATGGAAGCTAACGCTCATATATTGATCGGATTCTAGACACCGGCTAAGGAAGTCCCAGGCCACCTCCTGGCGAAGGAGCTAGAGCCTCACCAGTTACAAGGGGCGTCCACGGAGGAGTAGTGCTTCACCGACCCCGCATATTGCTGAGTGCGTGAAAAAACAAAACACTCACTCACTCACTCCTGTTGAACACAGAGGTGGATTCGCCTTGAAGCAAGCTCATATATTATATATATACTGATCGGGCTCTGACTTCGATAGCCTTGAAGAAGGTAGCGAAGGCTAAGTGGCTCCAAGTCTACCTCACACAGGAAATCTAGAATGGATACTTCGAGAGCTTGAAGTCTCCGGCATCCACCGAGGAATTCTCCTCCAAGGTCTCCATATATTAGCCACTTCGTCATATATAGCTACTTCGTCAGTCCGTTCAAGACATCGCATAAGTTGTCTATCAACTGTATGCCATATGTCATCTATAAGCCTACGAAGACAATTGCACAGGCTATTTACAACACAAAGCGTCGCTATATTAATTAATCAGCGGCGTTGCATAGATCTTCACAGAAATCAACCTTTCCGTATAGATTGCTAGAATATGCAATCCCGGACTACGATCACGATTATCTACATGCGTGACCATTACGCAGATCTGCAGACAATTCAATATCGAAATTGAACAGCAGCCTTGTTACAGCGGTATAACTTATAATCGTCAAAGTTTCTGAGAAGAAATATGTACAAGTTCAGCTTTAATTCTACAATTATGGCGATACATTCATGTATACAGTCTACAAGCTGACAACTTGCAAGTTTATTGTACCTTTATATAAGGAAGTCGGAATTATATTCAAAACTGAAGTTACATTCGACAGCCAGGAAAATAACCTACCCAGCATTAATATTACAGAGCGAGGTATTTGGCGGAGGTTTCAGCGTGTTTACCTTAACCCTCGAAACCGCGTGGTCACTTTCGGGTAACCGGGGAAGCTACGGTGAAGACCGGCGATTATGCTAATATCAACGGCGGCAAGATTTTATACAAGGTTTTTTCCTGCTACACGGTGACATCATAAGCGCGGTATTCTACAGAATCAAAATGCCTTGTTCTGATTGGACGGCGTTGGACAACGACCTACGCAGAAGTCGATCTTAGTTCAGACTTCAAGACTTACGTTACAAGTGAAAACTATATATCAGTGAGCGAGCAAGCCTCCTTACAGTCCAGTTAATCTGAACCTTCATGATTGGGCTGCTTTCTTCAGGTTAGAGACCTCCCCTGTCAAGTTAGGGCGAGAGCCGCGGCAGTCAGGCAATTTTACATAAAGTTCAAGCGAGGACAGACACACCTGGTTGTGCACCTACATCGTCAAGGACCAAGCGAATAACCTAGACGACCCGGGATACAAGTGGATCTAAATCCACAGCGTCTCAGACTACAGCTGAATTTCATAATCAAGCTACTAACACAACTAGATGGTTAGTAAACCTACTTAAACTTTCTGATTGGAGAATTAAAACGGAAGTTTCACCCTCCAACTTGGGGATCTGAATATAGTGCTCCAACACCTCACAAGTGAGGTTTATGAACACGCCTGGATGACATACTTGGACTCCATGATACGATGATTCTATCACGATGGCCAGCAAGAGCACTGTAAATTTATCTCCACCGAAACAAACAGAAGGGAATAATACAACAGATTATTTCCTCTATCATCAACTACATGAGAATGAAATCTCCGCGTACTATATCTCCGTTTGGATCAGAACTGTCATACTACGTGCATACATGACGGATGGACCCAATCCGACCCTCCATGAGCTTTAATACTCATGATATTAGAGAGCTAACTTCTACAATTGATCTACCCAATATTATTTGAAATAATGGAGGGTTTATTTTCTAGAGATCCGATATGGTGGTTGCCAACCATTATCTGAGAGATATCATCACCGAGGACGTCTCAGGTATCCACCAATTCGATCCCATGGTCCTCGCACAACAGTTGACAGTTCCTCGGAGAAGATAAGTCAATCTTACAGATTTCTACTTATCTTATAACAGTACTAAATAGCTACATGCTATATATAATTTGCTTAAGTTCTTTTTATCATCACAGTACTATGATTATTACATCATACAATATATAAGTTAACAACTCTACAGAGTTGGTTATTATATATTTACCTTAACTTAATTATATCTTAAGCATAGTACTATACTCAGATTGTAAAATATATAAGCTAACAAACTCTACAGAGTTTGGGCTATTATATAGGTAGCTTAAGCTTATTCATATCTTAAGCTCAGTACTATGTTTATATCATATCAGTATATTAGCTAACAAACTCTAAAGAGTTTTTGCTATTTGGCTTAAGGCTCATCATATCTTAAGCAATATGGTTACATTATAACATGTATTAGCTAACAAACTCTACGGAGTTTTTTACTATTATATATGTAACTTAAGCTTATTCATATCTTAAAGCGCCAATACTATGTTTATATCATATAGGTATATTGGCTATCAAAACTCTAAAAGAGTTTTTGCTATTATATATTTGGCTTAAGTTTCATCATAATTTAAACTTTATGGTTACATTATAACTTGTATTAGCTAACAAACTCTCACGGAGTTTTTTGCTATATATAGGTAGCTTAAGTTTTCCTTCAAATCTTAAGCTCAATACTATGTTTATATCATATAAGTATATTAGCTAACAAACTCTCACGAGGTTTTGCTATTATATATGTAACAAGGTTTCCTTCAAAGCTCAATACTATGTTTATATCATATAAGTATATTAGCTAACAAACTCTACGGGTGTTTGCTATTATATATGTAGCTTAAGATTTCCTTCATAAACTCAATACTAAGTTTATATCATATAAGTATTTTAGCTAACAAACTCTAAAGGGTTTTGCTATTATACAATTAGCTTAAGTTTCATCATATCTTAAGCAGTATGGTTACATTATAAAATGTATTAGCTAACAAAGCTCTCACTGAGTTTTGCTATTATATATATAGCTTAAGTTTAATTATATCTTAAGCTCAGTACTATGGTTATAACATAAAAGTATATTAGTTAATAAACTCTAAGGAGTTTTTTTTTTGCTATATACATTTAGCTTAAGTCTAATCTTATCTTAAGCTTAGTACTATGGTTACATTATAAATCTATAAGCTAATAAACTCTACAGAGTTTTGGCTATATTATATATGTAGCTTAAGTTAATTATATCTTAAGCACAGTACTATCATATTGTAAAAATATATTAGCTAACAAACTCTACAGAGTTTTGCTATTTATATAGGTAGCTAAAGCTTATTCATATCTTAAGCTCAGCACTATGTCTATATCATATAAGTACATTAACTAACAAACTCTAAAGAGTTTTGCTATTATATAATTAGCTTAAGTTTAATCATATCTTAAGCTTAGTACTATGTTTATATTTTAAAGTAATTTAGCTAACAAACTCTAAGGAGTTTATACTAGCATATTAACAAGCTTAAGTCTATTAGTCTTAAGCATTGTATTAATGTTATAAATACTTTATCATAATAAGTACATTGTAATAACCTTTATATGGCAGCTGATAAGTTAGCAGCAGGAATTCATCAGTTCAGTACCTTTATGAAGTTCCCATAGGGTTATTACAATCATCACAGTTCAAATCACTAATTATTAAAATCCAAAGTATTATATATTCCCACCTCCCTTTCCGTCAGTTCTACAAGCAAAAGAGCATGAGTCAGGATAAGGAAAATATGTAATTTTTAGAGTAAAATTGATATTTTATACTTATCCTGACTCATGAGGTAAGCCCTCCCATCCTCCCCACATAACACTTTGGATTTCCCTGTAAATTCAAATGTTGGGCTCAGTATATGAGGAGAGAGTGAGGCACATGGGTGGAGGTGGCGCCCTCGTTCCCGAGCTTGTGGAAGGGAGGTAACTCGTGCTGAGTACTAATTAGTGATTTTACATTGAAGGGAGCTTCAATTAGGGAGATACAAGTGTTCCACTAGGTTCGCAAGAAGAAGAAGACAAGCAAAAAGAGCATGAGTCAGGATAAGTATAAAATATCAATTTTACTCTAAAAATTACATACTTATCCTGACTCATGACGAGAAGCTCTCCCAACCTCCCCGCTGGAGACACTTCGGATTGCACAGCAGATCCCAAGTGCATGGGCAGAAAATCAGGAGAGAGTGACAAGTAAGGCTGGTCACATGACTGTTTGCATGGGAAAGGGCAAAAGGGAGGTAACTTGTAGGTGAGTGTATTTTTACGTCCGCTTCGGCAACTTCAAGGGATTCAAGTGTTTCCACTACCATTCCAAAAGAAAAGGGAGATAAGCAAAAGATCTATGTTTTCCAAAATAATGGTGGCATCATCATTTGAACATAGTCTCAGATGCCAGCTGCATATCATGAAATAAGTAATAAATGACACCTGTTACTATGGTAACATGTCTGAGAGTCCATACTCTGTGTTCCCTTCCAGGGTGAGACAGTGGACTGCCGTCTGTACCTCCCAGAGAGCAACACAAGTAGGCACATCCTCATAGCACTGGCTGAAAACATGAAGATATTTGACCGTGACGGCAACCCTACAGACAAACCTTTCGGCCATGGAAAACAAAAACCGTGGAGAAAGGTCACCACTAAGAGGTAAACCCTTACCCCGTATTTGTCTCAGTTATTTTTCAGTTCACTGACTGTTTATTAATCTTGTCAGTTGGTGAGCTTTTCATTTCTAATATGTACACTATATCTGGTGTTCCTGTGTAACGTGAATATTGCTAAAAGTGGAAGATACCCAAGAAGATCTGGGCTAGAATTGGTCTGCCGCAGCCTCTGCCTGTTGTAAGAGTGGAACTAACAGGATCATGGTTCAGGTTCAATATCAACTTAATTGATGCTCATCCTTGTATCCTCATCCTTGTATCCTCATCCTTGTATCCTCATTCAATAAATCGGTGCTCATAATGTCAATCACTGGATAAATCAGTGGTTAAAGCGTTCGCTCATCATGCCGAAGACCCGGGTTGGATTCCCCACATGGGTACAATGTGTGAAGCCCATTTCTGGTGTCCCTTGCCATGATATTGCTGGAATATTGCTAAAAGCGGAGTAAAACTTCACTCACTCACTCCAAATTTGATTAGTTAAAACTGCCATCAAATAGCTAGAACATAGCTAAATGTGGATTGAAACAAAAAAAACAAACAATACATCTGACAGAACTCATGTAAGATCATTGCTTACTTCCAGCACTGGCTGGGTAGATTGCTGGAGCACTTCCCATGTGCTGTTGTCTATCCGATACACCTACCATCCCATGGCCATCCTTGGGACCCCTGTCAGCTCCAAGATAGGACTGGATGACCTCCCTACCCCAGACAGGGAAGAGTCTCTTCTGATGCCTCTGCGTCCATTGTCCAAGCCGGAGTGTTCCAAATCCAGAGTGACCCCAGAGACATTCGATGCTGCAGAATGGGATCCAGACGTCTTCAGTGTGGAGCTGGAGGTGGCGCCCTCTGTCTTGTGTCTCTATGGCTCTCTGTTCCGCTTTCTCATCAATGTCAAGGTAAACAAATAAACTTACTTACTGATGTCGGAACGTGTGTCCTGTTGTGACTTTGTTCCTGTGGGACATTTTACTAATTCACTGTCTGTACGTTGTTTCTTCAGGAGAACTACCTCGGTGAGGACCAGAAGGTAGCAGATTTCAAAGCCGATGACAGCTCACCAGAGTCAGACGACAAGGACTCCAGCTTTGTCAACATCACTGCCTCCAACACAGAGAAAAGCACAGCATTTGACCCGAGGGAATATAGGCCATTTGCTGTGACAGTGTCAGTCATCCTGCAGGATATCCAGGCTCACCTCGTCCGGGTAAGAGAGTTGATTACAGCCATTGTAGAGGTGTAGACTTCTAATTTGATGTGAACAGTCATTGAAATTGTTATTTGCCTTAGTGTTTTGGCATATCCAAAACTGCTTGTACTTGCAAGCTATGCAAAATTGATATGATCTTATGGTTATAGAACTGTGGTGCTGATGATATTGCCTGCCCGTGTGCTAGGGTGGAGAGGCTGTGTTTTGAACTGGACAAGTCCTACCTGGAGACCAAGCTGCAGCTGCTCCTGTCTCCCTCCGTGCTTATTGCCAAGGACAACTTAGTGGTAGGTCAACTAACTCCATGCTTATTACCAAGGGGGGCGGTGGGGTAGTCTAGTGGTTAAAGCGTTGGCTCATCACGCTGAAGACCCGGGTTCAAATCCCCACATGGGTACAATGAGTGAAGCCCATTTCTGGTGTCCCCCGCCGTGATATTGCTGGAATATTGCTAAAAGCGGTGTAAAACCAAACTCAGTCAGTCAGTTATTGCCAAGGACAACTTAGTGGTAGGTCAACTAACTCCATGCTTATTGCCAAGGACAACTTAGTGGTAGGTCAACTAACTCCATGCTTATTGCCAAGGACAACTTAGTCTTAGGTCAACTAACTCCATGCTTATTGCCAAGGACAACTTAGTGGTAGGTCAACTAACTCCATGCTTGTTGCCAAGGACAACTTAGTGGTAGGTCAACTCATTCTGTGCTTATTGCCAAGGACAACTGGTAGGTCAACTCACCCCTATCCAAGTAAAGACTCTGCTCACCTTTGTTGACAACTGTTTGTTCATTAAATATTTGTGTCACACACAACATCTCTTCTGCCACAATATTGAGTTCTAGAACATCTATGATGTATGTTATATCACATGACAGGTTTACGATGGTGTTAGTGTAAAGCTCCTGTGCTGTTTTAGAGGGAAGCTGATCAGGACCACCTAAAGGAAGGTCACCTGGCTCTGTCCGGCCTCCAAGTCCGAGGTCATGCCATGTTCTCCCACGTCGGTCTCCCGCTAGACTCCGAGACCCTGGAGTATGCCTGGCTAGTGGAAGCAATCATCNGACTGGGGGAGGTGACAGGCAGACTCACATCTCCACAGGTTTGTTGATGGTATAGGCTACCCCGCCCCAGAGGTGGCACAAAGAGGTCACAGTTGTTGCTTTCCTTAGTCATGATCTAATGATGACCAGTTCTATTCCTAGATATTCCCTAAATACTGAACCGCCTCCGTGGTGTAGTGGTTAGAGCGTCCGCCCAGAGAGCGGAAGGTCGCGGGTTCGATCCCCGACCGCGTCATACCAAAAGACGTTAAAATATGGTACTTGTTGGTCCCTGCCTGGCACTCGGCATTAATGGGTACAACAAGGACTGGTCGGCTCGGAGTCAGTATAATGTGTCTGAGTGGGGTATTCCTGCTTCACTGTGGCATGGTATCTCAGTGGGCTAGCACTATAAAACCAGCTTCAGTCTGGGCTAGTACAAGCAGCCGCACATACACATACACACGCATGCACGTCGTCATATGAGCAAAATATTCTCAAGCACAGTGGTATACCCAATTTCACCTCACCTCACCTCACCTCACTTCACCTCACCCTAAATACTGAGTGAGGATTAACCATTTTACATAAATATCAAGACATTTCTTAACTTTACAGCACAGTCTTTGAACGGTGCATTTATGCAATGTACTGAATGTTCCTCCCAGTCAGGTGGTCAGGCTCACTCACTTGGTTGACACAGCATTATCCAAACTGCTTAGACCGATGCTCATGATGTTGATCACTAGATTGACTGTTCGATTATTTACAAACTGCTGTCATATAGCTGGAAAATTGCTGAGAGCAGCATAAAACAACAAACAAAGAAACAATTCCTCTTAACACTTATTTGCTTGTACACCTAGGATACTGAATTCAGCCCGTCACTGTACTGGTACAAAATCTGTTCTCCCAAAGCCAGACAAAATGTCAACACTTTCCAACATGTACTGTCTTCAGGTGCAGAATGTGGCTGAGTTCCTCCAAACGTTTGTGCTGCTCATTGATGACCCGGAGAACAAACTGAAGCGCCCCACCCCCTGGAGCCTGTGCCAGCACATGCTGCCCCAGCCCACCTGCCGGATGCTGCCCTCCTGTCCCTTCCCCTGCCCCTCCAGTGACGACATCAAGTACCGTCTGGTGCGTGCCTCCGTCGACTCAGTAAACCTCTTCGTTGTGGAGTCTGGAGCAGCTCTCAATCTATGGGTATGACTGTTTTGTATAATTTGTCATAGTTGTTACACTCAAAGTTAAAAGCACGTTTGGTTTAATGACATTACTTAAATTTTGAGAAAACATATCTGGGACGACAACAGTTATGTCCCCATATTCATGATGTGATGTGACAGATTGGTTATGTATTTCTGACTTCAATGAGATTACCTTAGAGAGAGACCTGCCATAGCTCCACATCCAACACTCATCACTATATGACCAAATTGTTGCTGATGCAATGTTAAACTCTCACTTGTTCCATCTCCAACATACAGATGTAAAACCTTTGGAGTGAAAGTCTAACGTTAAACTGTCAGTAAATTAGGAGCAAACACAGATTAATGAGACCATGTAGTTTGATCAAAGTTATGAAGGAAGTAGTTACAAATTTATGACTGAAATTAGAAACCTTCATGTACTATGAAGGAAAATGCATAATCTGACGAGGGCTCAAGTTTGAGCCATTGAAGATATACTGTTGTTCTACTAACGGTTTCACAATTGTTCATGAAAAGTGTTTGAATCCGGTTTGTGTATTCCATGTTATCTTACCTGTGGTCCCTGGTTACAAAACTTGAATGAAAAAATGTTCCCCAAGCAAAGGTTTTAGAAATGTTCATACTGAATTTATTCCAGGTGTCCGCTGTGCGCCATTTCCACCTGTAATCTCCATGGCAACAACACCCGATCAGGCATCACTTGTGTGGTGGATCAGGTAACCCTGAAGCAGCACATCTCATGCGCTCCCCTCCGTCTGGAGCCTGGACATCCTGAGATGTGGCTGGATGCTGGAGGCTTCTCCTTCGGCCCGCTCAATGTGGAGGCAGCCATGGCTCTCCCAAACTCAGAACTCCATTACATCCAGGACCGTTTCTTGCACATGCACGACAAGAAGACAAGGCGACTCTGGTTCCTGTGGCCCATTCCCACCACCCATGCAGGACAGAATGCCAACATTGCTGGAAAGTGTGGTTGTCTTGGTGGCTGTGTGTTCTTTGGCAAGAACAAGAACGGCACAACCTTCTTCAAATCTCGACGCCACAGAGAACCCAGCAATGCTGCCATCCCTCAAGTCTTCCCTGAAGGTGTTGATCCAGGGTTCGCTCAGAGCTTGCTGCACAAGGACAAGCTTGTGTTTGACGTGGGACACTCCCTGAAATCCATGACACCGAAGATGTCCCCTACAGAGTTCTCCTTCACCAGGGGGTACATGAGTGATGTGGCAAGTCCCGACACCCCTGGAGTCATCAGCTCCACCTTGATGGACAGCCTCCTGATGGGGGGAACGACTGACCACGGTGACCTGGACTCCTCCCGTGACAACACTCTCACCAGCGACGTCACCAGTGTCAGGAGCACCATAAGAGGCAGTGGGATAGATGGTAGGAACCAGGACGTGTACGTTGACCCAAGAGTGAAAGACAGTAGTTCTGTCAGCATCCACTTTGTTGATGACCGACATAGTATCGAGAGTGCCACACTACGGAGACAGACATCCATCACTGCATCGACCTGTTCCAGTAGCCCATCATCCCCATCCGTTCCCAGACAAGGCTCGGCACTGAGTGGCGGGAGCATGGACTCGACTCTCATCCACTCCACAACATCAAAAAGCTCCATACCAAGTCCTGTTCCTATTCATCGCATTGCTGGCTCTGCTACAGCTATGGATAGACTGATGTCCACAGTGTCTCTGGAGAGTGATCGGTACTACTCAGCAGAAGAAGATGTCCTTTCGTTGTCTGAAGCAGATTCTCAGCAGCAGTATCATTCCCTTCTCAGCGGGATAACTGACTCCCCCAACTCTCCCTGCTTTGACATTCCAGGGTTCCCGTTCGGTCAGGACCGGACCATTGATGCAACCATCTTGGAGAAGGGTTATCACCCAAACATGAATGACCTGGACTATGCTAGCTCAGCAAGCAGCTCAACTTCTACGCTCTCCTACACATCTGCTCCTACAGATCATGAGAGTGAAACAATGTCTGGTGAAGCTCCCGAGGAATTTTCTTTGATCGACCTTCACAGTCAGATGAACCAGCCGATCACCAAGTCCCCTCTGTTGTTGTCCCGATATTCCAGTCACCTCTCGCACTACAACTGTCACGACTGGGTGGCCCCTCCCCCAATCCACTCGGCTGGGAAGAGCATCCACTCCCTACAGTCTGAGCACTCCCTTTCCTCGGCCAGCCAGTCCGTATATGGGTCAGCCTCGCTGTGGATCCCTCACTTCAACAAGGTTAGACAAGGTTTCAGCACCAGTGTGATGAAGGAGAAGAATGAGCTAAAGCTGCCATCTCCTCCAGGTCCCAGGCGCTCAGAGGCGTTTGATTGGTCCAGGATAGATGAACAGAATCATGATGGTAAGTGCATTTGATTAGGCCACAATCAGCAGTGAGTGTGTGAGTGATTTAGTTTGACGCCGCTTTTAGCAATATTCCAGCAATATCACAGCGGAGGACACCAGAAATGGGCTTCACACATTGTGCCCATGTAGGGATCGAACCCAGGCCTTGATCGCCAGGAGGATCGAACAAAAATCCAGGCCTTCAGCGTCAGGAGTTAAGTGTGAACACTTTAACCACTTTCAAAATCAACAGAGGTAGGATGTTAATCGTGACAACAATTAATTAACAGAGGTATGATTTTAAGTGCCTTTGATTGGCTTAAATGGCCTTTCATCAGTCTTATTTGTTTATTCCATTAGACTCTTTTATGATGATGTTTGTATCAGTACAGTATGCCTCAGGCATTAGACTCTTGTATCAGAGGCCCTCAGAGTTGAGGCATTCAAAAAAACTTGCTTTACCACAATGCACTTTTGTGTGAAGTCCATTATGTCATAGTAATGTCAAGGAAAACCAAAATGATAACAATGGCATTGGCCCAGCATCAATTTGTTTAACAGAAGATCTGTTGGCCGAGCATCATTGTATTGAGGTTGAACCGTGTATCATGGAGTTATTTCCCTTTGCTGGGGTGGTTACTGGAAGTGATCACCTTGCATCTGTCTGCTGTTCCAGAGGAGGACAATGATGACAAGAAGCATCTGGAGAATACGTCGAAGACCACGGCGGTGATCAAGGTGGCCGGCACCTTTGACATCCTGTTGACACCCCTTCTGCTGGAGTCCCTTCAGAGGTGAGGAGGCCATGGCGTCAGTGTAGTAGTTAGACGATTGGGACAGACAGGGTCAACACATCTCATGTGAGACGGTACCAATGGAATGTTTCAGTTCAAATACAGTCCTCTAGAATAAGGTCTTTCTTGTGGTGTGGGCCCTGTTCTACAAAGTTGTCTGAGTTTGAAGATAATAATAACTCCAGTCACTTGTAAGGATACAATGACTTTTTCAAACATCTGTTAGTTGCAATGTGTTCCTGAAGCCCGAGTGATGTAAGTCAACTAAGTCAAACTAAGCAAAAATAACATGAGTTGCTTCTGATTATTTAAGCAGAGGTTTAAAATTCAAATTAATCAAGACAGTTCATTGCAGTGAGTGAGTGAGTATGGTTTTACACCGCTTTTAGCAATATTCCAGCAATATCACGGTGGGGACACCAGAAATGGGCTTCACACATTGTACCCATGTGGGGAATCGAACCCGGGCCTTCTGCATGATGAGCAACCGCTTTAACCATTAGGCTACCCCATCGCCCAGTTCATTTATAGGTCAATATACCATGTACAGTGTGTATGAGCGTGGTATCCAGGTCAAACTGCAGCCTGGATTCTTTTTCAGAGAGATCGTCCTTGGGGTACATATTATGCATTTTCCGGCTGTAAAATGTCCTGTGACAGTTGTATCAATGTTTTTTGAATAAAAAGATTGTACAATAAATAAACTCTTTTATTTATTATACGGACCCTACCTCACGGAGTTACCTCCCTTAGGGCATGCGCACCAACTGGGTAGGCTCCTAGAGCCGTATCATCATTCCTTCTGCTGTCACGGCCCTGAACAGACGTTCGTTGTGATTCCCTTTCATGAGCGCACGGCGCTGTATTTTAAGATGTCTGAGACACCACCTGTATGTTTGGTTTTATTTGTCTAAAACAATACCAGTAAAGCCTTTACAGTGGTTGTTTCATAATTGTGACTTTGTATAAGTACTATCAAAATACGCAAACTTTCCCGTGGTTTCACGCAAGTTTGCTCTGCCATGGCGGGAAGTTTAAGCGTGCGCTGCGTGGTCGTAATATTAGCGTTTAAAACCAACTATTACTTTCCGTGGTAACCTTCCGCGTATTTTTCAATGTTTTCACGTGTTTCTCTGCTTCTGGCCACAAGTTAACTAACATGTTTACGTGTTTGTTTCAGGCTTTACCTGTTGTTCGGTCTGTGGGGAAGTATTACCCCGGGCTGACAGTCACTCCCCAATCGTGGCCTGTCTGGAGAAGACGGGCCATGTGGCTGATACATGTTCAATTTGTCTGGCCTTTTCCCCGGCACAGAAGAGAGAAGGGCGGCCGACACCCTGTTTACCCGAGATGCGAGGCGGAGGGACCTGGCGCCAGGTTCCCCGTCAAAATCTAAGCCGGGCGTCCAAAAAGGAAAAAATCCCGTGGCCCTTCCCCTCTCCTACCACCCGGTGGTTTTGACATAATCTCTAATGGAGTCGATGTTTCAGAAGCAGATGGACTCAATGAAGTCCTTCGCTCCATGAGTCGGTTGGAGGTCTCCGCCAGGAGTTCCTCGCCCACTCGGACAGGGGGCGGAGAGTCGAGGGTGGGATCGCCGGGCCCGGCTAGATCCTCAGCCTTGAGGCGTCTGTCGATCCGTTGCCTCTGGCCGGATCCGACGCCTTCGGCTGCTCGAGGAGAGGTGCTCCCAGTCCCCTCTCGGAGCTTGGCGCTTGGGCGTTGAGTATTCCTGGTATTCCGGTCCCGCGCACACCCCGCCTACGAGAGCCGGAGGCACCAGTTCTGCCTGGCCTGCCTCCAGCGTCCTCGGGACCGGGGTCCGCACGCCGCGCCCGGCTGGCTGGCGATGGAGCAGTCGGTCTGTTCCTCCCTTCCTGTGGTGCCCAGCGCTAGGCAGTCCACCGGGTTGGGGTTAGGGTCCTCTTCACGGAGGAGACCCAGCCTCTGACTTCGGGCTCCGGACGCCCCAGGCAATGGAGCTCGAGGGGAGGTCGAGGAGCATGAACGGCAGCTTCCGTTTTGCTTCGACCTTGCGGGAGGTCCGGCAGAGAATTGCCGAGGGCTACCCCAGGCCGCGATGCCTGCTGGTTGCGTGGACTCGACTGAGTTCCGCTTGCCTGGTGAGGCGTTTGCCCCTAGGCAACCCTCACAGGCGCAGCTCCGCATTCTGCCATCTGCCATCGCTGGGCGACGGTCGATCCCTCTTGTCTGGTACCGAGTCAGGTTTGACTTACCTGAACTTCGTCTTGGCGCTACCAGCTTGGGGAGGATTCCTGTTCGTCGTACGATCGTGGACGAGTGTGTTTTCACTTCCGCCGCTTCTGGGGAGGCTCGCGCTTCCTCCGGAGCAGCTCGGCTGCCGGCAAGAGCGCCTCACTCCACCTTTTGCCCTCGCGAAATCCCGCTGCTGCATCGCATACCCGGACCTACGAGGAGGTCTACCGGTACGCCGATGCAGCAGGTGTGCGGTGGTGGTCCATGAGGCCTACCTCTCCTCGATACAGAGGTCGGCCCTGAGGCGGAGGGGGCATGCTGGCTGACGCGTGTCGCCGCATGTCGATGCTACTCCGCCAGCTGTCGGAAGTTCAGGCTCACCTGGCGCCACTCTTTGCGGTCTGCTGCGCCGACGGTGATGTGCGAGTCATGGGGATGCGCCAGGCTGTGGCTGTCGGCGTCTAGGTACTTTCGGCAGCAACAGCAGCAGACCTTGCTGGCTCTCCCTTTCCGCCTGGGAGCGACCCTCTTTCTGGGGCACAGCAGGTCATACGGGAGGCTGCCGCTGCAGCGACCTCCTTCAAGGATTCTAAGGCCTTGTTGGAGCACCCCGCGCGGTGTCTTCGCCCCAGCGGCTCCGATGCCACCTTCCTCCGCCGGGTGCAGCCTACACCGAGTCCGCCGGCTGGCTTCGGCCGCTTGGTAGGGGGTAGAGAGGAGTCGTCCGCCAAGGGGGCAAGGAGCAGTCCTCGACTAGCTCCCAGCCTTTTCGCGGGCGGGAGGTCTGCCCGACCTCCGTTAACCCAACAGGCTGCCGCCGCCGCCGTGTGTCACCCAGTCAGCTCCGCTACTAGGGTCCACGCACGCGCTCTACCCCCATATCCCAGTGGGAGGCCGCCTCTCTCTATTCCTGCGGAATGGGAGAAGGCTACCAACAACGCTTGGGTGCTGGCCACGGTCAGCATAGGCCATCTCCCACTGTGGAAGGCGAGGTCCGCCCGACTTCACCCGGCATACGACGCACTCGGTACCGTCATGCCAAGCCAGGGCGGACATATTAGCGCCGACGAAGTTCAGGCTCTGCTGGACAAGTCCGCAATCGGCGCATTCCACCGGGAGAGGAACAGGCGGGGATTTTACTCCACGTACTTCCCTCGTCGAAGAAAGACGGCGGTTCCGTCCGATTCTCAACCTCAAGGGGTTGAATCGCGATGCTCGAAGTACCATCCTTCAAGATGGAGACACTGCGCCGGTGATCTCATCTGTTCAGCCCGGCGATTGGCTCACGTCAATCGACCTAAAGGATGCGTATCTGCACAGCCCATACATCCCTCGTTCAAGCAGTACCTCCGGTTCTCTTACGACGGGATGTATTACCAATTCAGGGTGCTCCCCTTCGGCATATCGACTGCCCCAAGGGTGTTCACCAAGCTCATGTTAGTCCCAGCTACCCTCGCTTCGCTTCGGGAAGGCGTTGTTACCCTTACCTAGGCGACTGGTTGCTCGGAGCACTAACACAGCCAGCGAGTCAAGATGCTACTCACACGGTGATAGACATTCTAACTTCGACTGGGGTGGATCATCAACCTCAAGAAATCCCGACCTGGTACCCACCCAGGACTTGGTTTTTCTTGGAGCGATTCAAACACAACAAGGATCTCGTTTCCTTGTCGGCCCGACCGGGTCACCAGAGTTAGGAGATGGTATCTTCATTCCTCTCCCAGCCCCAGGCACCAGCACGGACTTGGCTCCGTCTACTGGGCCATATGGCGGCGACGATCTCTGTAGTGTGGCGGTAGCGGTTGAGGATGCGCCCCATACAGCAAGCTTTGGCTCGGCTGTGGACTCACCGCGGAGGATCTGGGCGCGCAGTCTCACAGTCCCGAGTGGTTGACACCTCACCTTCAGTGGTGGACAAATGTCGAGAATCTCACCAGGGGGTTCCTTGGAAATCCGTCACGCCAGCTCTCACAGTTCAGACAGATCGTCCCTCCGCGGGCTGGGGCGTTCTGGGCAGTCTGTCGGCTTCGGACTCTGGTCGAAGCGAAGCTCACCTTCACATCAACGTGTTGGGGCTGAGAGCTGTGCGGTTGGTATTCTAGCTTCAGAGAGCATGTCCGCGGGCCAGGTAGTCCGTCTTCAGTTAGACAACCAGACGGCCATGTCGTATTATCCTGAAGCAGGAGGCGCGGTGTCCCCAGCTCCTCCGGAGGCGTGGGACTTTCTCCTCTGGGCGACCAGTGCGATTGTCAGGTACTCCCTGTTTATCTCCGGGCTGGAGAGCGTCGCGAGCAGATGCGCTCTCTCGCCGGATCCTGGCCCGCACAGTGGATGCTCGACAGGCAGATATTCACTAGTAATCTCCCCAGTTATGTACCAGATTCGTTCGAGGTGGATCTGTTTGCGTCCGGCCGGGCGCATCAGACACCCGATGTTCTGCTCGGATACCCGGACCAGAGAGGGCGTTGGCTGACGGCCTTCCTGCTGGATTGGACGGAGCAAAGTGCTCTGGGCGTTCCGCCCGTACCACTTATTCCCGTGTCCTTTCACAGCTGTCCACCCAGCCAGCTCGGCTACTTGTGCTACTGGCACCGCTTTGGCCGTCACAGAGCTGGTTTCGGTAATTCTCAGGTTTCTGGCTCAGCCTCCTGTTCTATTACCTTTAGCGGCCGGACATTCTCACTCAGAGCGGGCTTCCCACCCAAATCCACCGGATTCAGTGGGTGGCTTGGCCTCTGTCAGGTCTAACCTCGAGGCACGCGGAATTCCTGCAGCAGTTGCAGACACAATTCTGGCTTGAGGGATTCGACAAACGTTCAGTATGAGGATAGGTGGTCCCGCTATGCGCGCTGGTGTTCAGATAGGGCATTGCAGATCCCTTTTCTGCGGATTTAGTCCGGTATTGGAGTTTTGCAAGCTCGTTTGGAAGAAGGCCTGGCTGCTTCGACCATTTAAGTGGCTACTCCACGCTATTTCCACTTTTCACACCCCTGTCGATGGTGCTCTTCTGGGGCAGCACCCTCGTCTGGCTTTTTAGCTGGCTGAACGCAGTTCGACCTGCTCTCAGGCGAACCAGTCCACCTTGAGTATTTGTCGATCGTGCTCGATTGGCTGTCGGTCCCACTTTCTCACACCTATCGGCTATTTCCATTCAGTTGTTGACCTGGAAAGCTGTGTTTCTGGTGGCGGTAACATCTGGTCGAAGAGTCGGCGATATACATGTATGTCGTCGACCGGGCGCTGACTGTGTTTCACAGCGGATCGTGTCAGCATTAAGCCTCCCAGATACTTACCCGACCGAAGGTCGATCACGCTTTCCATGTGACAGCTCCTATCGAACTTCCTACTCTTACCCAGCCTTCCACATCGGGGGACCACTCAGCGAGCACTCACCCGTTGGATGTCCGTAAGACGCTCAAAGTCTATATCAAAATGACGCAGGGGATCGTGACGGGTACCCAGCTGTTCTGTTGTTACGGTGGCGGGAAGGCTGGGGTGCTGCCAGCCAGCAAGCACACTTTGTCTCAGCTGGCTTGTTTAAGATTGTATTTGTGCCGCTTATCAGGCTAAGGGCAAGCCTCCCCTGAGGGGTTGAAGGCTCACTCGGTCAGGGCAGTAGCCGCATCAAAGCTTTGCAGCGGCACTCCCCCATTGAAGATCTGCTCTGCCGCTATTTGGAGCCGCCAAGCACTTTTATACGCCATTATCAGCTCGATACACATTCACGCAATCGTCGCGAAGCTTTGGTCGTACCGTTCTCTCCAGTGGACAGTGTCCTGCCACCCTGACCAAGTGAGTCTTGGTTTATTGGTTTGTGTTGGCGCTACTGTACAATGATTCCATTATTGACATGTCTGCTCTGAGCACTCAGAGAACCTGTACCCCTTCGATTCTCTAAGGAGATTCACGCTTATATCGTTAGTGAGTGGTATTTTTGTTTTCCCCACGGTGCTCTCGAAGAAGCCACTTAGTGGGTCGGATTTCACTGACATTAAGCACTTCGTGCAATGTCTCATTATGCTAGAGGTCGATCTTTGAGCACAAATCCTCCCTGTCAGTTCCCCTCCCATAATGCCTCTCGTGAAGCGAAACTGGGTCGAAAGTGACAGGTGAGTGTTATGGCGTCTGTTCAATTTTTTTCCATGATACAATCGCTATATTTTGTGTGTGCTTGGACAGAATTCCCTCCTCCCTGGCCTCTGGTCTTTGGGAGTCTGTGTTTATGCATAATATGTACCCCAAGGGCGATCTATTCTCTGAAAAAGAATTTTCCAAACCTGCAGAGGTTTTCAATTCTTTGAAGAGAATCCTGAGGGTAGAGCCCACCCACCTCCCGCAATTCTGTTCACTGATGAGGAATTCAGCAGAAGGAATGATGATACTGGTCTAGGAGCCTACACCCAGTTGTGATGGCATCGCTAAGGGAGGTAACTCCGTGAGGTAGGGTCCGTATAATAAATAAAAGAGTTTATTTATTGTACAATCTTTTTATTCAAAAAACATTGATACAACTGTCACAGGACATTTTACAGCCGGAAAATGCATAATATGTACCCCAAGGACGACTCTCTTCAAAGAATTGAAAACCTCTGCAGGTTTGGAAAAATTTCATTGGACTAGAGCTAGAAAACTTGCTTTTGACTGGATTAGTAATCCTGATTTAGATGTTAACCCCATTCTTCCTCACCTCTACCCAGGTACATTGAAGCTGTGACACCATGCTTGGCCAGCATGCATCCGTCTGCCCTGATCGACCGTCTGCACAGTCACTGCCTGGACCAGCTGAAGCAGCAGAACAAGCTGAAGAAGGGCCAGACTGGGAACCCAGACGAGCAGGAACAGCCAACTGACTTCCACTCCAACCTCTCCCAGAAGAACAGCACCGACAGGAGAACCAGTGATGTAGTGAAGACTTCCTCTCTGCAGGCGTTCTTCTCACTGCCTAAGGTAATATTCTGGTGCTGATGCTACACTACTGCTGAAAGGTTCCTGTTAGTGTCATGTTGCAAATGCATATCAATAACAGAGTTAAGTCTAGACCTGTTCTGTTTTGTTTTTAAGGAATCAACCAGACTTGTGCTGAACAAAAGAAATTCATTAAAACAAAATTCAATGTTTTGTTGAAAGGTCATATTTTTTCTTATCCTGACTCATGATCTTTTGCTTATCTCCCTTTCCCTTGCGAATGGTAGTGGAACACTTGAATGCCTTGATGTTCCCGAAGCGGACGTAAAATTACACTTCCCCCACGAGTTACCTCCCTTTTCCTGCGTAAACAGTCATGTGACCAGCCTTACTTGTCACTCTCTCCCTTTTCACCCAAGTGGATGGTTGGGCGATCACTGGAGTCCCATATACGGCATTATATTCTTTTTTATTTAGGTCCTATTCTTCAAAATTATGCAGTGTATTGATTTGGCTATAACTACATTGTATTATATGTAAAAATTTATAAAAAGTATTTGTATTTGAGTCATAATTTCAACGTGAAGTAACTTGTTTACATTTCATGAAATTTTGCAGTGTTGCAGGCACAGGTTATCCCTGGCTGATCCTCACCCCCCCAATGCCCTTTGTGCATCAAACCATGTTCTTCCAGCTTGCGCTGTACTAATTGTGTTGATTTATCAAATCTACAATTTAATCAATATTTGTCTTATATCTATAGACGTACCATGTATCGGGTGAGGAAGTCATCTCAAGTCACGGCTGATAAAACAGGAGATCAGCCTGCAAACCGTATGCTGCTTGCTACTGCTGAAATTCATAATACTGGTGCTATGTTGAGTACGTTGCAGGGGTAGTCTGCTGGTACGGGGGCCAAGAGAGATCATCTACTTCGTAGTTGACTCCGACTCAAGCTAAGAAAAAGACGTCGTCTTCTTCTACGTCGCAGAAGAAAGCATCTGTTACCAGATCGGAGGGTAAATCTACACAGCCTAGTAAGTCACGCATCAGAAATCCTTCAACGAAGAGATATTACCTCCGCATGAAGTAGACGTTTTTTTATGATCCCCCGTTACTTCTACCCGAAGTACCTACAAGATCGGCGACTCAATCGACCTCCACGACTACTAGATCGTCTCCTGCAACTGTCACAGCAGGCCAGCTGTTTGACGAACTACCACCAACTTCTCAACGGAGTGAAGTCGAGGCACACAACTCATCAGCGTTCGCGAACGCTTCATCTACACCGCAGCAGCTTCAATCAAAGCAGAACTTGATCCAGGTGAATTTATGAGACAATTCACCAACCAGATGATGGCCATGATGGAACGTAGGTTTGAGGAAGAAGCAAAGGCTTGGCAAAGGCTCGGTGAAGCCTCACATCTACTGACATTGTGCGCGAACCCACGGACCTGCGCTAACCTACTCCTCATATAGTACGTCTCAAGACTATGTTGGCGAACGTACACCTTTGTGAAGGTCTCCACAGTCTGACGACTCTGTCATCTTGGAGGAGGATAAAAGACATGAGATGCCTACTCATCATTCTACATCTGCAAACCCTCAACGTTCGAGAACATCGAAGGATCCATCTCCTACACCTAGCCGTTCTAGATCGAGATCTCATATCTCTCACAGACGTTCGCGAAGTCACTCATCACGAGACAGAGGTTCGCGAAGAGAAGGCTCACATCACAACGGTTCGCGAAGGGATACATCTAGCGAGAGAAGGCTCACATCACAACGGTTCGCGAAGGGATACATCTAGCGACAGAGGTTCGCGAAGAGAAGGCTCACATCACAGAGGTTCGCGAAGGGATACATCTAGCGACAGAGGTTCGCGAAGAGAAGACTCACGTCACAGAGGTTCGCGAAGAGATGAATCCACAGATAGAAGTTCACGAAGAGAGGAATCTTCAGACAGAGGTTCGCAAAAGGATGATGGAGGTTCGAGAAGGGATACAGGTTCGCAGATGGATGATTCGCCAAGGCATAGCTCTACCAATCAGGAGATAATTGATGAACAACCAGCTTCGTCGTCCTATATCCAAGGTACCTTCTAACCTACGCACAGCTTTGAGAAAGCTGCAGACATCTACAAGGTTCGAGAACTCTCAGATCTACAGGCAGATAACAGCAACACAGACATCTACAGGGTTCGCGAACCCTAGGGTTAATTAACCTTTACATCAACAGGCATGATGTTGACGTCGACTCTATTACCATAAGGCTGAATAAAACAAAGCAATGATGAAAACGGATGGTTTTGTCAGAGTTTAAAACTCAACAAAAAGATCTACAACATTTCCAATATCTACAGTTTACAGCCTTCACAACTCTACAACCTGCACGAACCTTACACCTGTAATAGGTTCAGTTTCAGACGACAACCTACTTGATGAAAGGAATCACTTCATCTATACGGATGCTGAGGTCTTATACCGGGTAGCAGATGGCCTGCGGATATTGTCGTTCACGCTTTTACTTAACCAACTAATTGCACCAGATTTTATGGAGGCCAACTTGCTACAACACCAGTGACGTCATGCTTAAAGCTGATTGGTCCATGTCAGACAACGCCTCCCACTGACAGAGCAGGCACCAGCAAGTTTACTGACTTGTAAACAAACCCATGGTACGGGGGAATACTTCATCGGCAGAAAACAGTAAACAACTACGTCCTGTTATCATCATGAGAATCTAATAGATGTCTAGCTTTGACAGCAAGATAAACGATGTTTATTTTGGAAGTTGTCGCTGATAAAAGTCGGTATGAGAGTATCTGTCCCCTGCGATGCTACACTGGAGCCAGCCTTGCTATAAATAGACAACGCTTCGATGTATGTTGATCAACACAGATCGCCTGCGTATATAAGGGGAAGAATGATGTATCATTACTGCAATCAGAGGTTAGCACTTCCAATGGAACGTCCTACCGTTTGGAATATCGTCGGCTCTATGATTATTCATATGAATAACCAAGCCTATCGGCACCTATCTGTAGCATCGAGGTCTACACAGTGCCGGTCTATACAGGTTCTTCAAAGTGCCAATCAACTCAGACAGCAGCTGAACTTCACAATTAAGTTGCTCACGCAACTAGGATGGCTAGTGAACCTGATGAACCAAGATCTTCAATTGCTGGGAATAAAAATTATCACAACACAGAATCGAATTGTGGTCCCAGAAGATCATTGGGTCAAGATACAAGCCACGATTCCACAAGCAGTCATCTCTCCGTTAACACTACGAACATGGCAATGTCTACTCGGTCTACTAACATCGGTGCAGGACTTGACTCGCGCAGGAAGGTTACAACTAAGGCCGCTGCAACGGTTCCTGACAAAACATCTGGACACCGTCGACCCTATCTTGCTGCCAGACAATCTTAAGAGGTACCTTCTATGGTGGACCCACAGGTTGAACGGCTGCGGAGGGACCCATTTACAAGAGCCGTCCTTCGACACACATCTCTACATAGACGCATCGATACAAGGTTGGGGTGCACATCTCAACAATCAAGTTGCATCAAGGAAGTGGTCCAAAATAGAGAAGTGTCTTCACATCAATCTCGGGGCGGTGGGGTAGCCTAGTGGTTAAAGCGTTGGCTCGTCACGCCGAAGACCCGGGTTCGAATCCCCACATGGGTAAATTGTGTGAAGCCCATTTCTGGTGTCCCTCACCGTGATGTTGCTGGAATATTGCTAAAAGTGGCGTAAAACCAAACTCAGTCAGTCACATCAATCTGCTGGAAATGAAAGCCATGATCAACGCCTTACAACTATAGTCGAGCTCGCTGATCAACAGAATGTTCATGGTCCACACGGACAACTCTTCAGTGGCATTCTCCATAAATCGGCAAGGATCTACAAGATCACCAAGCCTACTACAGCTCACATTCCAGTTGTTTGACATCACGGAGGAGGCAAACATCTGGATAAAGGTGTGTCACATACCCGGAGCAAAGAACATGCTTGCAGACGCTCTCTCCCGACCACTGCACCCGTCACCTACAGAATGGATGCTCCATCCAGAAGCATTTCAGCTCATCATAAGGGAAATAGGATCCCCTGTCTGCCACGAGGTTCAACAAGCAACTACAGACGTTTGTCTCACCAGTTGCAGATCCTCAGGCCTGGGCAACAGATGCACTGAGCATATCCTGGGAAGGACTAAACGCTTACGCGTTTCCACCCCGATATTACTACCGAAAGTACTGTTGAAGATCAAACAGACACAGGCACTACAACTGACTTTGGTCGTGCCATACTGGCCTGCGAGAGTATGGTTCCTAGACCTAATAGAAGATCTCAGAAGTCCAACAATCAAGTTACCAGATTGGCCGAACCTACTCATACATCCGCACACCAAGCAAGTCCACGGGAACCCAACAGCGTTTCATCTACACGTGTGGACTGTATCAAAACATGTTTGAAGAAAAGAGGATACTCCGCCAGGGCAGCCAAGGCAGTAACGCTAGCGTTACGCAGATCTACTTGTAACCTGTATGATGACAAATGGCTGAAATTTGAGACTTATGCAAGGCGGAACGGCTTTATTGCTATGAAAGCTACTCATCCTCAAGTGGCGGAATACCTGTGTCATCTGAGACAGACTAGACATCTGAAAGGTTCGACATTATCTACATACCTCGCTGCCATCAGTACAGTGAATACCATGAAAACAGGCATCAAGTTGACGAAAGTACCAGAATTACTTGCTCTGAATTAGAAGTTCAGAGTTCCGGCGTGGGATCTGAATGTAATTCTACGTCATCTTACAAGTGATGTCTACGAACCTCTAGACATACTACCTTCAAGCTGCTGACACAGAAGACTCTGTTCCTGCTTGCGCTAGCAACGGCAGCTCGGATATCAGAGATACATGCACTGGACTTTGGTCGAACCAGATTCGACACGAGGCAACATGCTGCAGTTCATCTAGGACTTAGATGGGACTTCATTGCCAAGAACCAACTACCTGGTCAGCCAGATAGACAGTTCCATGTACCAGCGCTATCTACAATCCTCAGACCAGAGGATATAGAGGACCTATCCCATTATCCACAGAGACATCAGTAGAAGTCTCAAGAACGACGATATCGTTCTGGATGAGAGCCGTCATACTGAGAGCCTATAAAGCAGCAGGACTAGAACCTCCTAGAGCTTCCAACCCACATCAAGTCAGAGCACTGGTGTCAACATTGCATGGAAATTGCTCTATATCAGCAATTATGGAGGGCTGCTTTTGGAAGTCAGATACGGTGTTCGCCAACCACCACCTCCGAGACATAGCCACTGAAGACGTCTCAGGCATTCACCAATTTGGGCCTCTCGTTGTAGCACAGCAACTAACGGTTCCTCAATCGGGCTGAGTTGGAAAATCTCACCCTTTATCACATTGACTTGTTGATAACTTTTACTAAGGAAAAGTATTAGTTTGAAAGTCCATGCACACAGTCTAGGACAGACTAGCATGAGTGATTAAAGATCCTGTACGGGTAAAGATCTTACCTGTACGTGAAGGGGTCGCAACTCATTTATGATAAAGATCTTATTATAATTTATGGGTTGTTATAGATATCTAGTAAAAAGAAGATACTAGTATATCTTAAGCCACATGAATCAACGTGATTCAACTTGACTGAGATGGAAGAAAGACAAGAAAGTGGTCCCCCCGAGTTATAACGGAAGTTGGAAGTATAGGATCAAGGAAATGCCGTTTCGCAGTACCCATGGGGGGATACAGGACGTATCTAAGGACAGCTGATGAATCCAGGAAGTGGCCTGACCCACCACCGGATTTTATAAGCAAAAGATGATGAGTCAGGATAAGAAAAATATGTAATTTTTCAAGTAAAATTGATATAATATACTTATCCTGACTCATGAGGTCAAGCCCTCCCAACCTCCCCGCTGGAAACACTTCGGATTTCACAGCAGATCCAAGTGCTTGGCAGCAAAATCAGGAGAGAGTGACAAGTAAGGCTGGTCACATGACTGTTTACGTGGGAAAATGGAGGTAACTCGTGGGTGAATGTATTTTTACGTCTGCTTCGGGAACTTTTAGGGATTCAACTGTTCCACTACCATTCGCAAGGGAAAGGGAGATAAGCAAAAGATCATGAGTCAGGATAAGTATAAAATATCAATTTTACTTGAAAAATTACATTTTTTTAAAGGTCTCATGGTTGGTAATTCATGTGTAAGTAGCTGTTTGTTTGTGACACTGACCAAACTCTAACCACGACAATATTTTGTTTATTTGCCTCCTGAATTCTGGGATGTTGATTGACGAGAGCAAACATTTGTCAGGTCTTATTCGTGAAAACATCTCTTTTTTTCAGTTTTGGTCTCAGGAGAGATTAAAATGTGGCTGAACTTTTCAGATTAACCTATGTGTGATGCAAGCATCCTTGGTGGAGGAGGTCATATCGTTTGCTGTGCTTGACAACATCAATGACCTGACTGCCGTGTCTCTGATGGCTGTCTGTGTGGATGGCATCAAGTGTCAGCTGCTCTCCAACACCCACCACTGTAAGAAGCTGACTGGTGACACAGGTCCAAGACGAACCAGCACCACCCCAGTCCAGCAACGCACCAGGCATGACTCCAGTGACACGGAACAGTCTATCGAACACACAAGGGAAGAGAACGTTGGAACTCTCAAACTGAACCGGATCCACTGTCAGTTGAGGCGGTTGCTAAAACACAGCAACTTCTCTGATAATGTTGTGCTGACAGCAATCCCTGAACACAGGTCCAATGTACTGTTTACCTTTGATCAAGATGGGTCGAGTTCGGTATCGCATGTACCCGTGTCTCCTCGCAAGAGACTCTCAAGACAAGCCAGCAGGGACTCACGTGATGGTGGATTTGATGCCACAATCGGTGTGATCATGTTCGAATGTGGCCTTGAGGAGGTGTCTGTGACAGCAGTACGGAGGCTGGGTTACAAGGAAGAAATGGACATGCACCTCCAGCAGAAAATGGACAACATTGAGAAGGCTCTCCAGGAGATGCAGGAATGCACTCGGGAGGAGATCGAGCAGCTGACGGAGAGCGGAACAAGTCCAACGGACCACGAGCCGATGAGCTCCCCCCTCCAGCCATCACTCATCAGAGTCCATGTCATCATGGGACTCCCGATTGTCCCTAGCTTCCAATGTCTCAGGTCTCCCTCCACTTACTCCAGAACCTCTCCAAGGAGATGCATCTAATGGTAGACTCCGACTCAAGACAATCTGGCTCAGCTTTGCTGCACCACCTCCAATATCAATAAAGAAGAAAGTGGACTTCACAAGGTATTGATCTGTCTGATATCCACTTATAAGCCCCATTATTAATGCCTGTATTCAAAATTATTGAATCATCATCATTTTATAGTGCTGTTCAGTCACAAAGAGCAAATTCCATGGCTGAGTGAGTGTGAGTGAGTTCAGTTTTACGCCGCTTTTAACCATATTCCAGCAATATCTCGTCGGGGGACACCAGAAATGGGCTTCACACATTGTACCCATGTGGGGAATCAAACACATGTCTTTGGGGTGACGAGCGAACGCTTTAACCACTAGGCTACCCCATCGCCCCTCCATGGCTGAATGAGACATAATTTCACACATGATTCTACTGGTGATCAAGTGGTTGCAATAGGAGTGTAGGTCATTGTAACCAGACAGTGAGGATCATGAATGATGCTATGCTACTCAACATTTGATAAGAACCAAAATAACTGGAGTTAAGGTGTGGTCCTTAGCAACAGTTGAGTAGTGTATGTGTAAACTACTCTTTTGCAGTAACTCAAGGTTTTACAGCTGCTATGATTTAACTCTCTGTTTATAACTTCTCACACACATTTTTTCTGCATTTTCCAATGTGATGTCAAATTCCACCCAACCTGCTTGTAATTTCATTAGAGATGCTGATGGAGTATGAAGAAGATTATGGCCTGTTTCAGACTTGACTGGAATTTGCTGAGCACGGCCACCCCGGCCATCAACGCCTGGCTGAACCCATGTGACCGAGCCATGCTGTCTGTGAAGCACCTCGTGAGTGAACTGACCAAACGGAAAAGTTCCGTCATGGCCTGTATCATGACCCAAGGCCTGGAGGAGCAAGGCATCCATGTCTGCAACAAGGTGACCAACAAGAAAATATATAGAGCCAAAAAGAAAAGTCCTGTTTTTCTGTTCACATTGTGTAGAAGAGCTGCTTTCCAAATCTAGATTTATTGCGTGTGCAAGTGTGGGACCCTCATTTATCCATACTACATCTGCATGCATGTTGCTCAACACAGAATTAGAAACATTCCAGCAGTATGGCAGAAGCATCTTTGTTTGTTTGTTTAACGCCTCACTCAGCAATATTGCAGCAATATGGCGGCAGTCTGTAAATAATCAAGTCTGGACCAGACAATCCAGTGATCAACAGCATGAGCATTGATCTATGCAACTGGGAACCGATGACATGTGTCAACCAAATCAGCGAGCCTGACCACCCAATCCTGTTAGTTGCCTCTTACGACAAGCTTGGGTTACTGAAGATCAACCCGGATCTTTACGGGTACTAGATTTGTTACATTGTTATTGTCCTATAGATGTTTTTGAATGATGTATATGGTAAACAAGAAATATTAGGGATCACAAATATTTTAGGGGATAGTTTTTTGTTGTGAAGTGTGAGTGAATTAAGTCTTATGCCGCTTTTAGCAATATTCCAGCAATATCACAGCAGGGGACACCAGAAATGGGCTTCAGAACATTGTACCCATGTTGGGAATCGAACCCATGTCTTCCGCATTATGAGCAAATGCTTGAACCAATGGGCTACCCCACTGACCTTTGTGGTGAAGACTGAATACAGTACAGATCATAAAAAATATCCCCCAAAATAGTTATGGTCCTAAGTTTTCTTCGGTCAGTATATGCTATATAGTCTACTGAAACAACTGTTCTTGGTTTGTATGTGGTTTAATCCTGTTCCAATATGTTTCCTTTAACCTTGATTGCAGAGTAAGTTCAGGAAGATGACCAGCCTGTCCAAGACACTGCAGGATGAACCGTCCAGCCAGCTTCTGACCGTGCTGCGAAAGTACCTTCACATCCATGGCTGCGGCAGCATCGAGAGAGCTGTGTTGTCAGAGACTGCCCCTCAGCTCATCACCATGCAGAAAGGTATCCTGGCTCTCACACGTCAGTGGAAGAACGTGCTCTACATGCCCTACATGTCAGACATACACTTCAAGTCCAAGAAATCTGTCAGACCATACAATGTTACTTTCTCCATCCCCAAACCGGAGAGTTCCGAGAACTTGTGTACAGATGACGGGGAAGGTACCATTGAACAGTTTGATGTTGTGGATGAGAAGACCTCCCTGTTGCAAGCTGAAGGGGGTCTAGTGATGAAGTCAACATCCAACCCGAGTCTCATCAGTCGTGGTGGACCTTCTAGCAGTGCAGCTGGGAAGGCGGAGCATGGACATGATTGTGTGAGCACTGGGTCGACCTCATCCTTCCAGCCAAAGAAGTTCCTAGCTACGGTGAGGTCTCGGGGTCGTGGAGCATTTCCTAATCCAGTGTTGAGCTGCATGGATTCGCCAGATCGCAAGGTTGAACAGACACAGACAGCAGCCACCCTGAGCCCTCCTACAGCCATGCCAAGGAATGACAGCAACTTTAGCTTCATGTCGGCAGCAGAGAGTATATCTTCTATAGATCAGGCCGTGGCTTCAACCCCTCCCCACACGCCTCTGAGAACTAGCGGCCAGAAACAGTTGCATCTGAAGAACAGGTACAGCAAGATTACAGACATGTATCAGTGGATGACAGCACAGCAGGAAGACTTCAAGGATCCACTAGATGATGGCACCAACTATGGGCCGAACCCATGAGAACATTTCAACAGGATTCGGTAGCGTCTGGAGCCAGGATGACAGCAGGACAGATGTGAACGAGGAGTACCTAACAATGGCTACCTCCATCATGCAACTGGCTGATGCACAGCTGCTGTTCCGGCCGCTGCTGCAGAGCCTTGGGTTGCATGTTGAAGGAGTCAGACCTTCAGCAATGATGAAGAAGTTTGGGGGCCACTTGCTCCTTCAGGCCAATCTTGACATCCTGAAGATCCAGATAGCTGAATCGGAAGCCTCCTACTCCAAGGGTAGTCACAAGGTGAAGGGGAAGAGTAAGAAATATCGCCTGAATATGAATGCAGGGAACTCAGCTTTTTCTTGTGAAGGATTTGGTGTGAATATCTCCATGAAAGATGTTGTGGACTTTGGTCAGAAAGATGCCGGTGTTGGCGGAAGGTCAAAGAGGTTTCCTTGGAAATTTGCAATGCATAAACTAGAGGCTAAGCCCACTACTCTACAAGTAAACTTCTTGATCAAATGTCAGGCCATTACTCAGCATGTGGACATGGCATTGTTGAGATTGGTCCATCAAGTGGTCACTATGGTGGATAATATCAAAGAAACTCAGGTGGAACTCAAACAGAGGAGGTCAGGCTTTGATTGGGTGAAGACCCACAGAAAACAGGAGTCCAAGGATTCTACTTCCAGTGCAGACACACAGCAATCAGATCTGTCTAAAGTTGACCAGCCATCTGCCGAGACTCAAATATCTACACCTGATCAGAGTCTTTGTTCCGATACACTAATCCAAGAATCAGAAAAACATGTTGCAAAGACACCTAAAAGTGTATCCTCGTTCAGACTTGCCCTTGATTCAAAACGGCCAGACAAACTCCCTCTAACAAGCTCATCCAAAAAAATCCCAACTACGATTTGCCAAAGAACCAAAACGTCCGAGATCTGACATAACTGTAACTCCAAGTCAGCACTCCGAAGTTCTAACACCTCCTCAGTCTCTGAACCTGAGTGATTCAGTGACAATGGATCTGGTAGACACTTCTTCACCAGCCCTGGCCGAGAAGACAATCGTGGACGAGATCAAGGAGAGCACCCCTCAGTGCTGGAGACACCTCTACCATCTCCTGGAGCTCTACTCCACCATGCCTGAACCCAAGACTGTTCTGAGGAAGCCCGGGGATGCACAAGCTGCCCATTATTGAGGAGGAAGAGCCTGAGAGTGAGATGAAGAGGGACAGCAGCAAGCTGGGTTCAGGCAGTCTGCCCCGAGACTCCAGCAAGATGGGGTCTGGCATCACGCTGCAGGATGAGGATGGGAAGATTCCTGATATTGGGAAGGAAGAACAGGAGATTGGTGGGAAGGGACCTTCCCTTGCACAGACTTCCTTCATCAGGACAAGGTTCAAACAGAGTAAGTGTAAGGAAGTTGAACAATGGGATCTGCATTATTGTAATCTTTTTATGGATATACTGACTGAAAATTTTGACTGGGAAAATAACAGTGATTTATTCATACCTTAGACCATAGGGGAGCACTGTAGACAGCATTTCAGAGTCAGAAATTATTATTGATATATTGAGCAAATGAGACCAGTGTTTTTTTGTGGTTCAGTTTTTAGTGCAGAGTTGCTTCCCTTACACATTGTAAAATCAGATGATCATTGGTTCAAATCCCTGGAATCTTGTTTTGTTTTGCATCATACCCATGCGTGTTTGCATGAACAAGTACATCATACCATGTAAGCTGATATGGTAACCTTCTTGCAGCGAAACTCACTCACAAATGCTCTGCACAATTATACACTAGCTGCTTCAAGTATATTCTAGCTAATGGCCCATAGTACAGATCTCTGCAGCAGCAGCAGCATAAGTTGTGTGTGGACAGCATGGATATTGTGACAATATGATTTTCCAAACTTACACAGCCTGATAGCTACACATTTCCAGATTTCTTACCAGATCACCATTATCAATGGACATAAAATAAATTCACTTTCTGTATCTGACCATGTGATTCAGTGGAAACAAGCACAAAATGATGCTGATCATCATAGCCTTCTACAAAGGCTGTGTAATATTTTTTAATCAGACACTGACCTAGCCATGTTCCACAAGTGATCTCTCCATTGACCATCTCAAATCAAAGTCACGGAATCAAAGTCATGATTGTCTTTGTGCAAAGATCACTCAATGGGTGGAAGTCCAGGTCAGCTGAATCATGTTCATTTTTATCTTTATCCTTTCTTTATCAGGCCTACCAAAGAAAATGTTCCCACTGTGCAGAAAAACGCAGAAAAGCCCACATTAATCGTGGAAATAGCAACATAAACATAATACCTCGCTACTGAAACAGTAAAAAAGGCAACTTTAAATCGCTAACACTGCATCATAAAACGAGGAGCCCGCAACTTCGATTTTGCGCATGCACACATGGAAGAGGAAGTCTCGACCGCATGTTGATATTTTCCAGCTTGGACAAAAGTTACATTCCTTTTTAAGTATTTCTGTTGTGTTATTTGGCATTTATCATCATGATACTTGTGTGCACACTTGTTTAGTTTACTTTCCATTCGTATGAAACGATTGACAGCAATTATTTCGACATATTTAATACTTTTTCTACGTGAGGCGATTCACGTTTTGCTCAGAAATTGGAAAGAAGCCCGGATCGTAATGCACATGCGCAGTAGAGGTCAAAGTTCGCTGATATAAAAATGTTGCAGTTTCATAGTTTTTCGTTGCCGTTTTTACTGTTTCAGTTGCGAAGTAATGTGTTTATGTTGCTATTTCCACGATTAATGTGGGCTTTTCTGCGTTTTTCTGCACGGTGGGAAAGTTTTCTTTGGTAGGCCTGTTTATGTGTTGGTGAATGTATAGTTGCCAGGTAGCTGCTTCCTGCTGTGATGCTGTAGTTTCTCCTGCAGGTATTTACATTGGAGAGAGCATCCCGCTGGTGGTGTACGGCATAGCCAAGATCGAGAAGGTTCAAGTGCTGGCAGTGCTGTCTGGCCTCAAACTGGAGGCGGAGCTACGCAGGGTGCACGCCAGCGGAACGTACAAGGAACGAGTTAAAGGTCAGTGCTAATGAAACACAGTGTCATTGTATTCATCTGAGTCCAGAGTGGCCAGAAAATCTTCCAGGTTTGATAGAGCTGTTAGTGTTGTGGAAAGGAATGCTCCATTTACAAAGGTCAGATCTGATTTGTATTGATTTGCATGATTTGTCTTTAACTTGCAATTAGAACTGGTGACCCAGTGGGTCTAAATGATACTGTGCAGAATAGCACCTGGGAATTCTTCCAGAATATATGGGGCGGTGGGGTAGCCTAGTGGTTAAAGCGTTCGCTTGGCAAGCCGAAGACCCGGGTTCGATTCCCCACATGGGCAAAATGTGTGAAGCCCATTTCTTGTGTTCCCCGCTTTGATATTGCTGGAATATTGCTAAAAGCAGCATAAAACCAAACTCACTCACTCACTCACTCTTCCAGAATATGATTGTTTTGAATCTCAGATTGATCTTGATCATGGATACTCATGAAGATTAGGGTTAGAATTGATTTTCTTGCTTGTCGTAAGAGGCAACTAATGGTATCGGCTGGTCAGGCTCGCTGACTTGGTTGACACATGTCATCATATCACAATTGCTTAGATTGATGCTCATGCTATTGATCACTGGATTGTCTGGTCCAGACTCGATTATTTACACACCGCTGCTATATAGCTGGAATATTTCTGAGTGCGGCGTTAACCAACCAACCAACCAACTATACTTAATGTGAACATCAAAACCTGTACCATCAGGTTAATGATCAGTGGTTTGTCAGTGACTTGCTCATGGATTGCATCAAGGTGGTGAACATATAGTCTGCAAAAGTCACATTAACTGAAATTCTGTTCCTATCGACTCACTCATGCATGAAGACTTACAGCAATAAGTAATCTGTGTAAATTATATTGCATTGATATCCTGTTATCCAATTTTTGTTTGTTTCTTCCACTGCTTACTTTGTGTGTTGAGATAACCCTTGTGTGTGCAGGCTTCCTTCACCGAAAGTCGTCGGACTCGTCGTTCACAGCCCATGTTGGACACACAATGATCGTGCTGCTGGAGGGGGTACCACCTAGCATGCAGTGAGTACACAGAATCCCTCCCAAGATACAGTTGCTTCTTACTGTCATACACATTCTTTTTCATAGAGATCGTCCTTGGGGTACATATATGCATTTTCTGCGGCTGAAAATATCACGTGACAGTTGTATCAATGTTTTAATAAAAATACAAGTATTGTATAATAAATAAAAATCTTTTTTATCTATTATACGGCCCCCACCACGTGAAGTTACCTCTCTGCTATGCATGCACATAAAGTTTGATGTTTTCTTGTTTGCCAGGACTGTGGTGACCGTGAACATCCGTAAGTCCCAGGCCCTGCACACAACGGTGATGAGACGAGCCAAGGAACACAACTCAGCCCTGGCATCTATCGGCCATATTGACATCGACATCCCACAACACCCTGTTGTGCTGCACGGCATGATGACCCGCAGCTCCAGACAACTGACATCAACACTACAGGAGTTCGGCTGGCCGCTGCAGCTGTCCAGAACAGCCAGGGTAAACATCAACACTACAACTGTCCAGAACAGCCAGGGATCAACTGTAGAGAATAATAGGCTGTAACAGACAACTTACATCAACACTACAGGAGTTCGGCTGGCCGCTGTCCAGAACAGCCAGGTAAACCTAGGTCAACTGTAGGGATCAATAATAGGCTGTAACAGACAACTTACATCAACACTACAGGAGTTCGGCTGGCCGCTGTCCAGAACAGCCAGGTAAACCTAGATCAACTGTAGGGATCAATAATAGGCTGTAACAGACAACTTACATCAACACTACAGGAGTTCGGCTGGCCGCTGTCAAGAACAGCCAGGTAAACCTAGGACAACTGTAGGGATCAATAATAGGCTGTAACAGACAGACTACCCAAAGAGACTGTGAGAGAGGTGTGAGAGGTCCCTTTCATTATCATGTCTCCATTATCATTATGGGTTTTTTTATGGTGTCCCCTGCTGTGATATTGCTGGAATATTGCTAAAAGCAGCGTACAACCTAACTTACTCACTCACTCACTGATTATGGTTTTAATCTAAGGTTTATGAATTATTCAAATTTTACTGAAAAAAATAAAAAAATTGTATACAGGGAAGAACAGGTCTTTAGCAACCTATGCTTGTTGTAAGAGGTAATTAACCAAATCAGGTGTCAGGCTCACTGACTTCTGTGATGCATATATATGTAAGTCAATGTTCATGATGTCAATCACTGGTTAGTCTGGTCCAGACTTGATTATTCATAGACCACTGTGACATCACTGGAATACCGTTGAATGCAGCATTCAATAACAAACAAACAAACAAACAAACTGAACATAGCAATGATGTTGCTTCCAATCGCAGATAGTTTTAGAAATGTTAATTGAACAATGTCAAACTACAAGCCTTAAGATTCAGGGATTAACATAGCTGATACTACAAATATGAAACTTTATCAAAGTGATTCCGAGTTTGTCCTCATAAGCCATTGGTTTGTCTTTTCCAGAATCACTTGTTTATTAGCTGCAACATAAACACTGACTCTTTCTTTAAGGTACAACATTTGCTAAGCTACCAATTTGGGTAGTAGTTTTGGGCTTTTGTTACCAACATTCCCTAGAATTTAGAACACAAATGGAATTTAGATGTTCTTTTTGCTCTCATTGTGTGTTCGGGGCGGTGGGGTAGCCTAGTGGTTAAAGCGTTCTCTCGTCACGCCGAAGACCTGGGTTCGATTCCCCGCATGGGTACAATGTCCGCAGCCCATTTCTGGTGTCCCCCGCCGTGATATTGCTAAAAGCGGCGTAAAACCCAACTCACTCACTCACTCACTCATTGTGTGTTCCAGCAAACCAACTCAGTCTGACGTTGTGGACGGTGAGGTGAAGGAGGAGGTGAAGAAGGAACAGACGGAGCAGTCAGAGAACAAGGCTCCGGGGAAACCCCGCCGCACCGAGCAGCCTGCCCCATCCTCTGTCAGCAAGCCGGTCACGCTACACATACACTTCAAGACGGTCTTCCAGGGCATCACCACAGCAGCGTCCATACTCCCTTCTCTCAAGGCTCAGCACAAGGTAAATGACTGATTCAGATCAGACTTTGACTGATTCAAAACTTCGACTTTTGGACCATTGGAATCCCAGTGGTATTAGGCATTGCAATTTGATATAAAGTGTTGCAGGATCCGCTGATCCTTGATATACCCTGATCATGACCCATCCTTTGTTATCACCATACTCATGTATGTCTAAGACAGGAGGCTTTCTTTCTCAATCGGCAGAGCAGTTTTAGTGAAAACAGCCACTTCACAGGGAGCACTCTCCTACCCAGAGCTCCATGCGGCAAGCCAGCATAGTATCTCTGCCACAGGCCAGAAAAATGTGACGATTCGTCACATCTTGCAATGTCCATTCAATATAATGTACAGATTACTTTAACTGTTTTATTTTTGACGAGTCTACACATCTAACTAACCATCTTTAATAGAATAGTTTAGTTTCACTGAGAAAATATCCAAAAACATGTAACACTATTTCGATTTGCGTAGCGATCCTTTGTTTACATAGGTTGTACGGCTCCACATGCTGTCATCGAGGCCGACGGAGAGCAAACGATGCAGCCAGTTTGATATCTAAATATGTACTGTCATAGACCTAACTGTCGCAGTTGTGGAAGAATATATATGTAACATTGTAAAACATTATGAAGAGAGCGCCGAAAAGCTTTCGTGAGTCCAGTCTCTTCTTACAAACAAGGGAAAAGTCTGGTCACGTGATATGCAAATTTGCCTGTGGTAGTGATGTTATGTTAAGTCATCGCTGTGCCGGAGTGTGCACAGGGAGCAGAACTTGTGGTTCATGTTATCACGCCTGATGCTTAGAATGTAATAGATAAAAGAAGCATTGGTGGGTGTGAGTGTGGTATCCATGTAAATAATCATCCATGGTTTCTTAGTGGGTTTGGAGTATAAAACTTTCATTCATCTGAACTAGTACAAGCAGCGAGATAGGCACACAAGTTCATGCAATAATCTTTACCCGTGAAGATCCGGGTTAGGAGTGATCTTCAGCAACCCATGCTTGTCGTAAGAGGCGACTAACAGGATCGGGTGGTCAGGCTCGTTTACTTGGTTGACACACGTTATTGTAACCCAGTTGCATAGATTTATGCTCATTATGTTGATGTTGATCACTGGAATATTGTTGAGTGGCGTAAAACTAAAATCACTCACTCATTGCAGGGGCGGTGGGGTAGCCTAGTGGTTAAAGCATTGGCTCGTCACGCCGAAGACCCGGGTTCGAATCCCCACATGGGTACAATGTGTGAAGCCCATTTCTGGTGTTCCCCGCTGTGATGTTAATCAAACTCAGTCAGTCACTCATTGCAACAAACACGAAAAGTGCTCTTCAAAAGTCTGTATGGATAGTCTTGTCCAGACTCAATATTTTACACACCCCCACCATATAGCATGACTGTTGCTATGTGCAGCATTAAACAACAAACAAACAAATTCAATTATATTGAACATGATGTTAAATCCCATTTCATCTCAACATCATGATTTGCTGTCTGTAACTAAAATAATGTAACTAAAATAATGTTCAAAGCAATCCTCATGGGCAAACCTCACCCATTATATGTCCCCCTCTGTGATTTCAAACCCTGTCATTTATGTTTTCAAACCCTGTCATTTGTCCTTTTGCCACACTTATAACTTATGTTGTGTCATTTTAATGTCACCCCAAAAAATAAGATGTGAGGTGAGACATTTATAGGAGATTGACCAAAATGATAACCATATGGTGATAACCATATTTTTTGGTGTTATTTGAAGTATTTCCATGAAATAATTAGAGCTGTGGACGATATATGTATCAATAATCGCGGATATTTTATCTGACGATAAATATATCGATACATTTTGTCGTGATCGCGGATATGTATCGCTGACCTTAACATTTATAATTTTCATTAGATATTGACGGTTATGTCAAAATTTCTGCTATTAAAATATGATTTTTAAAGAAAATAACTGAAGAAAGCATATCGTGATATGCATCGAATCAATGTGGCTATTAAAAATATCGCGATACATATCATATCATGAAATTTCTGTATCGCCACACCTCTAGAAATAATGTGTTTCAGACTGGGTCTATCACCGAGCTGGCAAGACGGGGAAGAAGGCACGGTTCACTGTGGTCCTGCCCAAACATACTCTCAGCTTCAGGTCAAAGGTAAGATACTTGTCCGAGGGATGAAGGGCCATCTGTGTTGGCAAATTCTATTAAGTTGTCCCCAAAATTGAAGCTCACCCTCAAGCACCTGTCTGGTCCAGGATTGATTGATGCCTGTTGTGATCAAGTGTAATGCACGCCAGTCACAAATCTGGCAAAGCAACATTCTTTGTGGAGAGTAGATGGATGGGAGACAAGTTGTGTCTCTTTAGAAAAGCAGCTTTGTCCAAAATATACCTCTGTTGACCCATCAGTGAATGGATCCTGCTAGGATGAGATGTTAACCTTCTATTGGCCCTCAGGAAGCTTGGGTTGTATGTCCCCTGACACGATTGAAAGGCTTTGATAATAGTGTTAAATCCAACTAACTCTTTAACTGACTACATCCACTGGCTATTCATTTGAATCCCAGCTTCATCCCAGTTTGAATCCTTAACCATCACCCATGAATGTCCGGGTTAGAATGTACCTTCAGCAACCCATGCTTGTCATAAGAGGCGACTAACGGGATCGGGTAGTCAGGCTCGCTGGCTTGGTTGACACATGTCATCGGTTCCCAATTGTGCAGATCGATGCTCATGCTGTTGATCACTGGATTGTCTGGTCCAGATTCGATTATTTACAGACTGCCGCCATATAGCTGGAATATTGCTGAGTGCGGCGTAAAACTCAACTCACTCACTCACTCACTCACTTAACCATCATTAGGGCTGTTCATAATGTATGGCTTGTGTGTGTGAGGGCGTGTGTGTGTGTGTGTGTGATTGTGTGCATGCGTGCACATAAGTGTGGGCGTGTGTGTATGTGATTATGATTTTAAGGTGGGGGGTTACCCATTCTTCAAGGAAGATAGGGGGTCATCAATTTTGTAAACATGTACTAGGGGGGCTTCAGCAATTTTTATACAGAACAATATTGAAAACTTGAAACATTGATTTTGTACGTGACATGAGGGGGGTGGGGGGGTCATTTACTGTGCATAATTTTTTTTTTTTTTAATTTTTTTTTTTGGGGTGGGGCATTCACATTGTACATGCTTCTCCATAAAAATCATCATCACTCCAATAGCCAAAGCCATAAATTATGAATGGTCCCTTATCATAACCATGTGAATCTGGATCCACATCATGATGTGGCAGATTTACCTTTGAGAGCTACGTTACTTCCAGGTGGTTACTACGGAGACCTCCATCCCCTCGTCGGCGAGTATCGAGTTGCCCCCGATCCACGTGTACGCCGACTACCGCCAGCACAAGGCAGGAGCTCCTGTGTCGGAGACTCTGACTGAGGGTCTCATCCTGAAGGCGGGAAGCTACATGAACGCCGTGGCTGAGGTTGGGATGCTAGAACACAGCCTTACAACAGACCTCCTCAACCACTTGGTCTTTGTTCAGAAAGTCTTCATGAAGGTAACAGCATGGTTCATTATCCAAGGGGGACAACAGGTAGCCCAGTTTGAGATGCTGCAATTTGTTGTTTAGAGTTGCCTCCCTTAGGCAGCACCATCCGTGGCCTGCATCACTTTGGGCTTCTCCTTTCACCTGACACTCTGTGATGTAACAGAATACCATTCAGATCAGCATGAAACATAACTTACTTTCTAATTCAGCCATTATTCATAGAATTTTTAGCTGTTATTTTTAATAAAATATATTACAGATTTTGTCCAAAATGTACTGCTAGAAAGTACAGTTATTGTCACATATAAAAATCATTTTATAATCAGTGAATACTACCCTATTTTAGATTCATGGGATGGGTTACAGATTTTGAGGAGTTTGACTTAAATATGATGCAAAAGATAATTTCATCTCATCAAAACCGTAGAATCTGGCAACATTTGGTGTCAACAGTTACACATGTTTAGACACGATTGTTTACAACCTGCTGTGATGCACCTGGAACTATGCTGACCTGTTCATTATTCCCTCACTTTGCTTAAACACGAATATGATGCTTTGTCTGTGGTCAGGAGGTGAACGAGGTTGTCCAGAAGGTGTCAGGGTCAGATCAGCCCATGAGACTGTGGTCCGAGGAGGAGAAGTCCACCCAGGCCAGTGACCCCGAGCCACTGCTCTACTCTTTCTCCTTCAGGTTCAAGGTCAGTTACTACTTCTGCTGTAAAGACAGGCTGTGTCAATTGACAGGAACATGAACCAAAAATATTTGTAAACCTATAGACTTGTCCAGTGATGATCCCTACCGCCTCCGTGGTGTAGTGGTTAGAGCGTCCGCCCGAAGAGCGGAAGGTCACGGGTTCGATCCCCGACCGCGTCATACCAAAAGATGTTAAAATATAGTACTCGTTGGTCCCTGCCTGGCGCTCTGCATTAATGGGTACAACAAGGACTGGTCGGCTCGGAGTCAGTATAATGTGTCTGAGTGGGGTATTCATGCTTCACTGCGGTATGGTATCTCAGTGGGCTAGCACTATAAAACCAGCTTCAGTCTGGGCTAGTACAAGCAGCCACACATACACATACACACGCATGCACGTCGTCATATGAGCGAAATATTCTCAAGCACGACGTAAAACCAATTTCAATTTCACCTCACCTCACCTCACCCTATGCTTGTCGTAAGAAGCGACTAAGGGTATAGGATGGTCAGACTGGCTTTGTTGATGCACGTCATCATATCATAGGAAGGTGAGATAGAGGAGTAAATTAGTGGTTCCTGCATTGACGTTATGCAGAAGAACCAGGTTCAATTCCACACGAAGCTCACAGCAATGTGTAGAGTTTGTCTTGCATTTGTTACAAAATGTTCAATTACTTCTAGCTTGTAGTAATGTTATTATTTCCTGCAACTGCAGGGGTGGAAATAACTTTAAAATTGCTAGTGTACTCCGGTACAGTGGCACATGTAAAATCACTTGCCCTGATCATTTTTCCACTATACTGGCTGTTTTCTTATTGATTTTTTAAATAAACAACATTATTAACATTGGAAAGTCAACTGGACATCGGTACAGCATGATATACAAATTTGCTTGCCCGACAGAAAAAAACACTAGACACGGATGTCGGGCAATGGGTTATTTCCACCCCTGAACTGTATAACATGAGTTAAAGATATCTGTGGTACTTCCAGGGCATCCAGATCACAGCCACCACCCCGACATCGAATGCAGTGAGACTGGAGACAGGAGAGATTGAGTTGGAAGTGTCCAACAGGGTGCATATGGCGGCCCGGGAATCTCAGCCTGATATAGGTAGCCACAAACTTGACACTTATACATACTGCTGTTGTTGCCTGTAATTATTTCAGCTATCTGATAGGAATAGACTATGGTCTTGAAATACCATGTTCGTCTGATGCTCTGTTTACACAGACTTGATGATGTCCAAGATATTTTTATGGATTAAACTTCTTTTTAATTTCTCTCACGACGTTTCGAGACCATTCCAGATCCCTTCATCAGGTGAACTGGCAGTTAGGACTATGACGAGAAATTAAAAAGAAGTTTAATCCATAAAAATATCTTGGACATCAATGTACAACTTCTAAATGCCACTGAAAGACATCAGACTTGATGATGTTTGACTGATGTGACTCTGGAATCCCAGCCACAAACCTTGACCCATAAAATCCCTGATATCATTGATCTTAGTTATTCTAGTTATCTGATAAGCAAGGCATGGGTCTTGAAATAGCGCTTACGTCTACCACTTGGTATATCCAGACATACTTACTAACATCTGAGTGACATCACTGTTGTTATGCAAGTAATTATAATAATGATGAAGTCATTTTGTGTGTCAGTAGCATGTATTGAATTCAGCTTCTTGTACAAGAAATAACTCTACTGATATATGTAACTCATAGTGCAGTTTTAGAAGTAAAACTGTTTGATGACCAAGTCAGTTGAAATTCAGCAACATCAGCATCTTGTTTTATGCTGTTTCAATTGTCCTGTTCAGTTATGCCATTTCAGCGTTAAGATGACTGTAACTCCCATACATAGGTGTACATTGTTGCGCTAAGATGACTAACTGCCATACATAGGTGTACGTTGTTGCGCTAAGATGACTAACTCCCATACATAGGTGTACATTGTTGTGCTAAGATGACTGTAACTCCCATACATAGGTGTACATTGTTGTGCTAAGATGACTGTAACTCCCATACATAGGTGTACATTGTTGTGCTAAGATGACTGTAACTCCCATACATAGGTGTACAATTGTTGCACTAAGATGACTGGTAACTCTCCCCACATGGGAAGGTGTACATTGTGAAGCCCATTTCTTGTTATAAAGCTGCATGTAGCTGGAATAGTTAGGTCAAAAGAGCTGACTGACATCTTATAAAGCTGCACAAGGTGAGACTCTGTGAGGTGAAAAGAGCTTAGTTTTTCATTGGGAGGTTAGCAATATGACCAGCTGATATCATGGTGAGTGGACACTAGTTTTTCAATGCTGTTAGCTTCACACTTTGTACCCATGTCAAGAATCAAATCCAGGTGTTGGGCATGACAAGCGAACACTTTAACCACTAGGCTGCCCGACCACCCCTATTATTCTGTGGTTACTGTACCATGAAAGTATGAGGAGGGTATCAACTGGCTGCTGTGGAATATTAGTCAATGCAGCTTTAAACAGCATTCACAAAACCAATTTCAGCTACGACCTTGTGTAAGAAAATACACGTCATTGTTACCACAACTGAAATATAAGTATGGTGATGGAATTTAGAAATAATTCATGAAAACATATACCGGTAAATTTATTCCAGGAACAATTATGACAAATACATTTAACACTGTTACAGACTATGAGGATAACCAGAAGGTCTTCATCCGAGCCCAGATATACCTCAACGTGGCCCTTGGGCAGCTGCTGAAGGTGAGCTGAAGTCTTCATCTCAGATGTGGGCAGGTTGGCTGGCATCACTCCATGGAATTTCAACAAATTTGTGTAAAATGTTACATAATGGAAAGTGGGTCATACTGATGACATGCCAAATTTAAAGATCAAACTACATGACCTGACAAAACCAATTATGAACAATTTCCAACCAAATGTACATTGCACACAGGTCATATGTTACAAAGGTCAAGGTCATTTGTTGTGAAAGAAACAAAGGTCACATGATGATGGCTGCGAGACAATGTCACGATCGCAATCCATTTTCTGCAACTACAAATAGGACTGATGCATTCACAATTTTGGGGTATTAAACAATTTTCAGTTTGCAATTTTTGTTAGTCTTATATATATAAGAAATAGTTTAGAAATTTTATCAGAGTGCTAACGTCTATGACCTCCTACATCAAGCTGATACGGGACATAACTGGAATCCTTTCAAAAGCGGCATTTATAAGCAAACTCGTGCAATATTTTCATTTTTGCAGAACCAAGTGTTTGAGGAGGCTGAGCCCGAGTTTCAGACAATGGCTTTCTTCAAGACCAAGATAGGAATCAGGAATGCCTTACAGGTCAGTTAGAGTGCAGGTTGTATATATCGGTACCTAGAGTATTTGGTGTTCAACTATTTAAGAGAAAATGTTTAGCTAATTGTAATGTTTTTTAATATCTTTCTAATGATTCATGGCTTTAACATTTATTTGGTTTCTGATGTAACAAGCCTCCCTTTCAACAACCCAGCTTACATGATTGCAGACAATGTAAGGGCTATTATTTTTCCTTATCCTGACTCATGCTAAATGCTTGTCTCCTTCTTCTTGCGAATGATAGTGGAGCACTTGAAATCCTTGAAGTTTCCTTCTAAAAATCCGGGTAAAATCGGGCATACACATCGGAGAGAGTCTCCCTTTGACAAACATGGCTTTTTGGTCACATGACCAGCCATGTTTGTCACTCTCTCCAAAGGAGGCTTGAGGGAGACTACTAGTGGGTGAGTGATGATTAGGCACATCCGCTTTTTAGACCTTTTTACATCTAAATGGCAGATATCGGTTTTTGGACTGTATATTATCAGAATGAGACAAGCATATTAGCATGAGTCAGGATAAGTATAAAATATAAATTTTAGTCAGAAAATTACATTATTGTAGGAATGTCCCCTTGAATATCTGGTTTAGAATATGTTTTTAGCAACCCATGCTTGTCATAAGAGGTGACTAACAGGATCAGGTGGTCATGCTCGCAAACTTGGTTGACACATGTCATCATATCCTAATTGTGTAGATTGATGCTCATGATGTTGATCACTGGCTTGTCTGGAACCTACTCTATTATTTACAGACTGCTGCCGTAGAGCTGGAATATTGCTCAGTGCAGTGTTAAACAACAAACAAACAAATACTTTTATGGTAGGGAAAAGGGATCACCAGAAGGTATGACTCTTGGAAAGGGCAGTGTGCGAAATAGTCACTGGCCCGTTAGCCTGTGGCTAGTAAAAATCTAGTTGGGCCAGTAAATCTCCACAGTCACTGGCCTGACTGGCTAGTGAATTTTCATGGGATAATTTTTTAGATATATCACTCTATCCGACTTGTTAAGTTACAATACACTTTTAAATCATGCAAGATTAGGGCCAGATAAATGATGGTATTTTACCTTTTGGAATCATTTGCTTAATTTCCACTTTCAAATTTCAGGCTAGTGAATCTTTTGTGGGGTAGTTACTTTCAGGCATAGCTGGCCTGACTCACTGTCAAAATTTGGAAACTATTTTGCACACTGGGAGAGGGTCATGAATAATAATGCATATATCTGGGAGGTTCAGGTTAACTTGGACATTCAATCCCAGTTCAACCTCATGCTTCTTGGTTAGTCTGTGCCAGTCATGATTTTCGGCAAAGTCTTAAAGTGTGTATCACCTCAGACTTCCTCCCTTATGAATCTGACATGCTGTAGTACAACTGAAAAACAGTTCAAAGTGGAGTTAAACCCAACTCTCCCTCCCACCAACTCACTTGGTGTATCACTGCTATCTTCTCAAAGGTTAAACCCAATTTCACCTCACCTCACCCTTATGAGATGATCCCAGGGGTGTCCACCAATCAGGAGGCCCTCATCATCAACCTCACCCGACCCATCGTCCTGGCCCAGCCACTTGCCTTCGACAAGGGTAGGCATGTCGTTACTGTAACAAGAGACACAAATCTGACACAAGGCCTAAGTTATAAGGGTTTGGGGAATGCCTTTGTTCTGAACTGAGAAATTAGTTGAAGAATTGCTAGTGTCAGTGTATACCAGAGTCTAATAAAACTTTATTCTTCTTTCTACAAAGTCATTGATGCAGGGATTATTTTGTACTCAAATGAAAGATCTGCCTGTCTGTTGCAATGGCATTTTTATATTCCTATTCTGCTTTAAGCTAGACCGCTTTTGAAACTTTGTTTACAAATCCATCAACTATAAAAATATTTGAAATAAGTCAATTTTTTTTCAAATATATTATCCCCCCAAATCGGGTCTCATAGAATCGTTCATCATAGGCGCTTGACTCTGATATGTTTATAAGTATGACCTATATATATAAGATATAAGAAAGGTGTGTCAGTAAATCGAAACAAAATGGCGGCCCGGCTCGGCTCGGCTAGGTTTCGGTCTGACAAAGGCTTCCTTCGCTTTGACCATTGAATAAACTGCACAATTTATGACTCACTCTGCTATTCGGTGCGGGTCTGTAGCCTGAGATTTGTTTACTTCCGGGCAGATGTCCTGACTTCGTGCGAGAATGGACGGCAAAATTATTGAAGCTTTAAAGGGAATAAAATCACCAGGTTAGTGATACACAAGGTACTTTACAGAGGTCAACTGAGCATAAATTGTGCAGTTTTTTCAACGGTCAAAGCGGTGGAAGCGTTTGTCAGACCGAAACCCAGCCGAGCCGAGCCGGGCCGCCATTTTGTTTCAATTTACTGACACACCTTTCTTATATCTTATATATATAGGTCGTTCATGCAGTACATGTGTTGTATGAATGGTCCTCTAACTGATATTTCCTTGCAGCTGTGTTGGTATGGCTCAACTACAAGAATGCCTATGAGTACTGGACGGAGCAGAGGATGTCCCTCAATAAGGAGGTAGGTGCTGCTCTTCCTTCTCTGATTCAGCTAAAGGTGACTAATGAGATCGGGCGGTCAGTCTCACTGATTTGGTAGACACCTGTCATCATATCCCAATTGAGTAGATTGATGCTCATGCTGTTGATCACTTTATTGTCTGGAGCAGACTTGATTATTTAGAGACCGCCGCCATATAGATGGAATATTGCCGAGTGTGGCATAAGACTAAACCCACTCCCTCACTCACTCAGCTTAGGGGTATAATATACAATAGGACTTATTGTGACTTCAATACATTCCGGGACGGTGGGGTAGCCCAGTGGTTACATTGTTGGCTCGTCACGCCGAAGACCCGGGTTCGAATCCCCACATGGGTACAATTTGTGAAGCCCATTTCTGGTGTCCCCCGCCATGATGTTGCTGGAATATTGCTAAAAGCGGAGTAAAACCAAATTCAGTCAGTCAGTCAGTCAATACGTTCTTATGTCTACAGGTTCAGACAGCCACCCAGGAGGTCATCAACAAGCTGCCACAGTTTGCCCAGGCTGCGGCACCGCCCTCACTCAGCACCCTCTTCCTCCAGCTGACCGTTGACGACATGGGCATCTGTGTCCCCATCGACACCCTCTCCTACCAGGTATAGTCAGGATATATAGGCATTTCTACTCTCCAGTGTCTCTCAGATACCATATATCTTTTGACATGTTCCAAAACATATCCAATGAGGACAATACTTTCATACTCGGAGAATGTTACTAAACTTTCTAAACACATACAGTTTAGACACATATATGAGTTTGAAGCACAACTAACTTATCAACTTTTAGTCAGGGAAGTAGTGTGTTATATTCTGACCATAGGTATCTGTGAAGATCCAGGTTAGAATTGGTCTTCAGCAAGCCAGGCTTGTCATAAGAGGCGACTACTAATGGGATCCGGTGGTCAGGCCTGCTGACTCGGTTGACACATGTCAATATATCCCAATTGCGTAGATCGATGCTCACGCTGTTGATCACTGGATTGTCTGGTCGATTATTTACAATCGACTGCCATATAGCTGGAATATTGCTGAGTGCAGCATTAAACAACAACCAAACCCAATCTGACCATAGGTTATCAGTGACCAACCTGAGCTGCCTGAGTACGCAGCCTGTATGTTAGTGTAGATACTAGATACTGATGGTGTTTTCCGATACCTTCCAGGCTGCTCCAGGGCTGGGACGCATGGCAGAAAGTGACCCTGGGGCAGCGCTGGTGCTTACGGTGGAGAGTAGCCAGATCTCAGCCTGCTCATCAGGGTCCCTCGTCAGCAAGGGCAGGTTCAAAGGTGAGTTCCATCAGTTGATGCACTTTCGTGACTGTTCTCATTACATCAAGGACAGTGAAATCAATTTCTAATCTAGTGGATGGAGTAAAAGGACAAAAGTCAGTGGTTCCATCTCAAGCCTCTTCATACCATAAGATGTACTTCTTGTTGCCTTGCTTTGTTCTTGGTATTAAATGAATTAAATATGGGTCAGTTCAGAATGAGTATATAGTCTCATTGGGTTATCAGAGTTAAACTATGGCCACACAATAACCCGTGTTAAATCCTGTCAGATTAACTGAAATATACAAGCCATCACAGGATTAAGTGTTAGAATTGGTCCCCAGTAAGTAAAGGAGTGAGTGAGTAAGGTTTTATGCCACTTTTAAGAACATTCCAGCAATATATCAAAGCTGGGGTCGCAAGAAATGGTTTTCACACATTGTACCCATGTTTGGAATCTAACTTGGATCTTAGGGTGGATGAGCGAACACCTTGACAACTAATCTACCACACGACCCGAGAGTGGTTTAGATGGTCAGATTAGGTGGCTTAATTTGGTGCCATCACATGTAATGTTTTGTCTGGTCAAGACACTTTTATTGACAGGCTGGCATTATATCAGAGCCACTGAGCATCGCTATGGTGGATATTAGGCGCTTTATAAATACATTATTATTATTATTATTATAATTATTATATAGCGAGAATATTAGTGAGTCTGGCATTAAACTAACAATAACAGATATCCATCAGGGAAATTGTTTCATATCCAAACTATAACCAGTGAGAAGTAGTTGTCACCATGTGTACTCCATTGTGCAGGGTTCAGTTTCCGGTTTGCTGATGACTTCGAGACGTCTTGGGATGACTGGAAACCAAATGGGAAAGAAGAGCCGAACATGAACATCTGCTGTGTGCCCGAGGGCACGTATGAGGTGTGCTCCAGGACCATCAACAAACAAGCCTCAGGTGGGCACACATTCCTTGATACTCCACAGTGATATGACAGGGAAGATCTAGAGGGTTAAATTCATAGAGTATCAATCAAATCAAACTATGTAAAATACTGCATCAATATTATGCAATATTTTGAAACCGCATGTTTGTGTTAATGATGTAGTCACAGGTGATGAATTGAAGGAACATGTGTATACAAACTTGACTAAGTATTCACAGGTGATGACAGTATATGGTTTATTCAAACCTGCAATGTATTGATGATGAGTGTGAGTGAGTGAGTTTAGTTTTACGCCACACTCAGCAATATTCCAGCTATATGGCAGCAGTCTGTAAATAATGAAGTCTGGACCAGACAATCCAGTGATCAACAGCATGAGCATCAATCTACGCAATTGGGGTACGATGACATGTGTTAACCAAGCCAGCGAGCCTGACCACCCGATCCCTTTAGTCGCCTCTTACAACAAACATGGGTTACTGAAGATCAATTCTAACCTGGATCTTCACGGGTGTATTGATGATGTCATTGGCAGTGAAGGTATATAGTATGTAGAAATCCTTGAAGTATTGATGACGTATTCACAGGTGATGACTGTAGGTGTATATAAACCATGTAGTATTGACAAAGTGTTCCCGGGTGTAGGGCTGCGCAATATAACCAGTTTACCAGTATTTACCGGTTCAGACATGAAAACGATACGTATTGCGATACGCTGATCGAAAACCGGTATTTTGACATGCATTTGGAAAACTTAGTAACAATCGGAAATCTTCGGATATTTCCGTTTTTTTAATTGTTCTTTTCCCTGTTTCATTAGTGCCAAATGTTAATTACATTTTTATTTTGTCATGTTTAAAAGTTTTTATAAACGGTTAATCAATCATAGTGATTTTGTTGTGTTTTTGCTTATAATCAAGCATTAACTCGATTATAAGTAGTTTTTGTTAAAAAAATAATCCTTGCAATATATTGCAATACATATCGCAATATATGCTTCCGCATCGCAATATATCGCAATATGAAAATTCTCTGCAATACCCACCCCTACCCGGGTGATGGAGAAATGTATGTATGCAAACCCATTAAATATAGTCAATGCAAGTACTCAGACTGACCAGCACTCAGTGAACCTGTTTGTGTCGCAGACCCAAAGAGTAATGCCAAGTGGATCCTGAACGTCCAGTGGCAGATGCAGGGCATCGACGTCCACCTCGACACCAACATCGGCAAGCGTCTGACAGCCCTGGGCCACAACCTCACAGCTCTGGCTGGGGAGGCAACTGAGGCAGTGTATGGGGCGGGATTCGGGATGCAGGAGGACGAGACTGATGGGTTGGATAATGAAGCCACAGACACCGAGGTATGTTTCTTGTAACTTAAAATATTTTACGTTTTAGCCAACCTATAGAATAATGTACCGTATATTACCGTAGATATGCCGAGTTTTGAGGACCCAAAAAGCAGTCTGTAGAAGGGGGTTGGCTTATCTATGGGTTACACTTTCGTCAAACTTTTTTCCAGGGGTAACAAAACAGCATCGTATCACCTCACGTGAACAAACAACAGAAGATGACTTTGTCAGTAAAAACGTCAAATTTGCAATTAAACATCACTATAACGTATGTTATATTTGGGATTACACTTTCTTAGTGAAGTACAGATTCTAGTACTTTTTTGGTTGAGTCCCACCTGGGATTCGAACCCACACCCTCAGAGTCAGGCAACTAATAAGCAGCACACAAAGTCAGACAATGCCCAGCGGCTTCACAAAAATGGAAGTTGGACACTGTAGTCTAGAAAGACTTTGTGTACCCCTCTGATAAGTGTTAACTGGCATGGCTCCCATGGCCGAAAGCTATGAAATACACAATGCCATGATTAGAAAGTGGTCAAATGTAATGTATGTTAGATTTGGGATTACACTTTCTTAGTAAAGTACAGATTCTAGTACTTTTTGGGTTGAGTCCCATCCGGGATTCGAACCTGCACCCTCAGAGTCAGGCAACTAATCGCCAGCACACAAAGTCAGATGCCTAGACCGCTCAGCCACCGTGGCTTCCACACAAATGGAAGTCGGACAACTGGTAGTCTAGACTGCGGACTTTGTGTACCCATTTGTGTAATCCCAAATATAACATATGTTACATTTGACCACTTTCTAAAAAATGGCATTGTGTATTTCATAGCTTTCGTCCGTGGGAGCCGTGCCAGTTAACACTTATCAGAGGGGTACACAGAGGGGTCATCGTATCCCAGTTGCGTAGTACGATGCTCATGCTGTTGATCACTGGATTGCCTGGTCCAGACTCGAGTATTTACAGACCACCGCCATATAACTGGAATATTGCTGAGTGTGGCATAAACTAAACTCACCCACTCGACACTTCAAAGCTCAAGGCATCAGTGTTTGACAGGAATTATCAATCCCTGAAGTATGATGTATTTGGATTGAAATAGTAGTTATAATGGGAAGCCATATGGAATTATTTGACCTTGGTGTTCTGCAGATCGATGACCCTGTGCGCCGTCCAAGTCTTGTGTCTGACATTCTTCCTGAGGAGATCTTCAGTCATGACTTGGACCCCAAGGAAAGAGCAAGACAGATTGAACGCGAGATGAACGAACAGGCGAAAGTGGTGCAGGACCTCAAGTAAGCATTGTACCCGGGTAGTTAAAAAATATATGAAGTGACATTATCATGATTATATGACTGGCTTGTTAAAACTCAGGTGGCTGAAACCTCAGTATATTTGGGAATTACACCAAAATGTTTTGCATTTCCCACCAGTTCATGGTAAGTTTCCAGTCTCAGAAAAGCGTAAGCCGTGTCAATCGCTCCTGGTAATAGCCATATATGAAAAAGGTGGCGTATTTGAATCATATTCTCAAAATGATTTGTGAAATGTTCATATTGTGTCACGTTTTCTAAGCATCTTGCAAGTATTAGTTTAATGGATGACAACCTCCCTCATCTTGTGTGTCTTGGGAATGTCATTGTCCCTTATCTTGGATTTGTTACGTGTTGATTGCAGAACTGAAATAAGTTAACCCAGAAATCTAAACGCATAAGAAATCACTATGGAACCAACTAAAGAAAAGAAGGATATGGTATACAATTATCAAAAGTATAAGATTAACTAGGTGTAAAAATTAAAAGTAATTACTATGACAGTGTACAATAGAGTGGCAGTACAATTAAAATAGCAGTATAAAATAAAAGCAGTAAAGCTGTTGATAATCACATTCCTGAAGCAGTACCAGAGGTCAAAGTTCCAAAGTAGCCCCAGGCAGGATATCCAAGATGAAAATACGACCTTTACACCACCACCACTGCATAATGTGTGATGAAAGATGCATGTACAGCTTGACCTGAGCTACTCTACATATGCATGACCCAGGAGGTCAAATGGCGCAAACGGCAGGTCGGGTTATCTTCATTAAATAGGGGTGCAGAGAATGTTATTAATATTGCATTCATGCGAAGCATACATAGATTCGTTACAGAACTTGTCCCGGAAAACAACACTTCTGAAAAAAACAATCATGTCATGTTTTAACTGAATTGTTTATACAGTCATATGCTATCTAGTTTGGTTTGCTAACTTTACAACTTACAGACGTCAGTTACTTTCACAATCCGATTCACTCACGCTATCATTCTCTACACCCAGTTCAATTATCACTTTTTCTATTTCATGTTCAACTGCAATATTTCTGTCCCAGTAGTTGCTTTCCAAATTTTCAACATGGGTACAACAATCAGTCCACTCGTTTACACCAATCATCTGAGAAAGGCGCACCCCTTCACAATAATAGACCCAACCAGTTGTGACACGGTCACACAATTCATTAGTATTCACTTGATCAGGTCAAGCTGAACAAGCTGTACTTGCCCACTTATACCGTGGAAATACCTTCAAGGAAGTTGCATACTATGCTGGATCGGTCTCCATCTGTTCTAGAAGTTTCTGATTGCCTCCAAAAGCATCAATATGAATATATAATGTCTTCAACACTACTGCTTACATTAAGTAGTAATACGTTCCTGACAACTAATTACTTTTAAGATAATATTTGATTAAATTCTACTGAACTTTATGTTTGTTGCATGTGTTTGTTTAGAGAGATGCAAATCTCCCTCATCTTGCATGTTGTTGCTAGTGACAACCTGACTCATCTAACATGCAGAAGTTTTTAAGGATTACAACATCACTCAGAACTTCTGATTTGTTTGGGAAAATAAGCTGGTTCTATAGACAGAAGTTGTATCTAAACCTACCTATTACAGACAACTTGGCGCGCCATCTCATCCATTATCGAGGCCGAGAGACGTAAGCTTGAGGAGCTACAAGCTATCCTCTTCCACGATTTCCGCAGAGATGTCTTCAACAAGTTGAAGAAACAGAGCGAACGGGTAAGTGCAGACCATATAGGGGTAATTTAGAGAAAGTTCTACAAGCATGTTTGGGGTGGCCAAAAATTAAACAAACGGAAATGGGTTTTTTTCAATGGTGATGTTTTAATATGATATCATGGTTGTGTTACGTACCTTAAGGTGGCAGTGTTTCAGTAAATGTGTTCAGCCTACTGATCTTCTCATAATGTTTGTAATGTATCAATGTCAAATATATTTATGTGTGATTTATTTGACAGGCATCAGCAATAAGGGACAAGCTTGGGTTAAACCCTAAACCAGCACACAGTCGTTCCAAGTCGTATGGTGGACATCATGGCAAACGCAAGGATCAGTGAGTGTCACTCCAATCTGTCAGTACTATGACTAAAGACATGATTCTCTGACAGCTTGTTTGAAGTTCTGTGTATCTGTCAAAGCTGATTAGACTAATGTAATGAATATGATACATAATGAATAAAAGACTAGCCATTATTTAGACACAAAATTCCATCCCAGAAATGCTGATGTCTTGGACATTATGCCAAGCCTTCATGGTCACTCTCCTCACAGCAGGGTTGTCTTTGAAATTAAAGGAATTTCTTAGATCCTTGAAGTTCACTGTTATAGTGTTTGAATATTAGTGATCCCTTTTAGTCTTCTGAGAACTTGGTGACCGCCTCCGTGGTGTAGTGGTTAGAGCATCCGCCCCGGAGAGCGGAAGGTCGCGGGTTCGATCCCCGACCGCATCATACCTAAAGACGTTAAAATATGGTACTTGTTGGTCCCTGCCTGGCACTCGGCATTAATGGGTACAACAAGGACTGGTTGGCTCTGAATATAATGTGTCTGAGTGGGGTATTCATGCTTCTTTGCGGCATGGTATCTCCGTGGGCTAGCACTATAAAACCAGCTTCAGTCTGTGCTAGTACAAGCAGCCGCACACACACATACACACGCATGCACGTCGTCATGATGAGCAAAATATTCTCAAGCACGACATTAAACCCAACCTCACCTCACCTCACCTCTGAGAACTTGGTACCCTTTCCTGTATATCCTGAATTTGGAATATTTAAAATGGAAGATGAGGGGTAACACCAAGCACAAATGAATAAAACCTGAGCTTTTAATATTTATATATATGCTGAATTTGAAATGTTTTTAATGTCAAGTCATGGCTAATGAAAGGTAACACAAAGTAAAGTTAATAAAGGTCAGATTGCACTGTGTATTCCTTCTGTTGCAGTCAAGGCGAGAGCAGTCGTGTTACGTCTTACACCATGGATCCTAGACGACAGGCTCGCACTCACTCCATTGACCTGGCAGCAATATCCCCTGCAGGGCATGTGGCCAGGGTGCAGTTTGGGGCCACCAGGTCCAACACATACACACCACCAGGGTTAGTACCACACTTTCACAGAATCCATTCTTCTTAATGTACGTTATACTCTACCACTAAGCCCAGCAGCTCCAACATGTACACTCACGTACGAGATGGAACCAAACATTCACTGGATCCGTCCCTCGTGATGTATATTATCCTCTATATTTATGGACATCAGGTCCAACACATACAAATCCTCCACCCCAGAAGAAGTTTTGTTTGGTCAAACTTACTTAAAATGGAGGATACTTAATTCTGACATCCCTGATGAAACACTTGAGTATCGTAACCTTACCAAACAGTCATAAACTCTTTTTATGACTCATGTTTGCAACAGAACCCCCGATGCGATGACCTCAAGTTTTGACGAGACTGATATGCCGCTGCTCAGAGAGAGCGTGTCGCTGCAGGACCTGACGTCTGACTCTGACCTGCCCTCATCCACTGACTCCGACACTCCAGACTCACAGATCAACCTGGACACAGTGTTCCGACGAAGGTGAGCCATATGTGGTAAACAGCTCCACCATGATGCATGGATCTTAGGTGTGCTGTATTGAAAGCTCATAACCATCGTTTAAGATTGGATCACTTGATTCATGAATGCTGTCTTATTAACCCATTCATTTCAAATAAAGCATACAGACCCTGTGAAGATCTGGGTTAAAATTGAAAAGACGACTAATACTATCGGGTGGTTAGATTTGTGGACTTGGTTATTGCATGACAGCATATTCCAGAAAATAGGATCTGTATGTAAAATTACTGTCAATCGCTTAAAGCCGTTAAACACAGTACATGACAATATGTTGAGATGTTGGAATATTTTTGCCAAGAATTCACTCAGGAAATAGAACTATTTTAAAGTTCCTTATCCTGACTCATGCTAATTATGCTTGTCTCCTTCCTCTTGTGAATGATAGTGGAACACTTGAAATCCCTTCAAGTTCCCTTCTAAAAAAGCGGACGTAAAATCACTCACCCTCGAGTAGTCTCCCTTTCCTCCCTTTTTGCGCCTTTTTTGGTCACATGACCAGCCATGTTTGTCACTCTCTCCTTCTTCGCCATTGAGGACGGTTGTGAGAGCACCTGAGTCCCTATATGGCACATATCCTTTATATATTCGGACCTTACATCAAAATTATTGCTGTATACGGTTTTTAGGATTATATTCTATATTACGGTTTGAAATTTGATCGCATCGGGATCGCTCGCCTGCGCGAAGCTCATCATACAGATCATCCAATAGAGACTCAAGTCGTCGGGGATCCATAGAGTGAGAGATGTCCAAATCAGAGGAAGAAGGTGAAGGCATATTCTCTGATACGGAAGTTAACTCCTGGATCGCCAACGGCTTGGACTTAGTATCACCTTCTAAGGACACAGATGAGGCGTTTACCTACAAGATGTCCAACAATGATTTTGACATGCTCACCTTTCCACCGATCGACCCGATCTCACAAGTACCAGACAACCTCAGCGCAGCTTTTGATAAAGCCACCAAGTCTCAGAATCAGCACATCCCGACGTTCAACACCAGGAATTTCCCACTACATAAGATGGAATCCTTCCTGAAGGCTCCAGAAGTTGATGATGACTACAAGATTATCACCGACTCCCGTCAGAGAACTTACAAGATTGAGGATAAGAAGTTAGCGCAGCTGGATACAACCACCAGATGTACCTTCTTCAGATTAGCCAGATTGAGGGCTATCAACGAAACACTCATCTCGAGGTTCAAGAATTCTACTAATGCAGAAGAAGGACCATCAGTTTATGTCGGAGCACCTAGCATCCACATCAGCGGGACTGACTCTCCTGAGAAGACAAGGGTTATTGTCAGCATGCACTTTGAGTGAACGCTTCACCAAGTCCTTATACAGAGCCCCATGGTCAGCATCTTACATCTTCGGAGCAGGAATTGAAGAAGTCGCCAGAGAAGTCTTTCATGACTCAAGGGAGGTTATGATGATTATATCCATCGACATCTTGGCTGACGTGATTCGTCAGACGTCCCAACGCTACTCCAACAAATCCAAGTTTGCAGGAGTCCAGAGAGCCAGAGAAAAGAAGCATTCCAGCATGAAAGGAGGAAGAGGCTCCTTTCGTCGCCCATCCAGAGCTCCTAGAGGTAACCCCGGAAGAGGCCGAGCATCTAGGGGTGCAAGAGGAATCAAGCGCTAAAGGCCAGGTTCGGAACGACTGGAGTCTTCCACCCCCAGCCGTTCCTGTACAACCTTCGACAGTGGGTGGATGTCTTCAACGATACAGGGAAAATTGGGGAATCCTACAAGACGACTACGACTACGCAGAGGGTACAAGATACAGTTGGAAACCACCCGGCCGCTCACAAGCAACCCGATGGCCTTCAACTATGCAGCCGACCAGATAGAGAAACTGGACAACGCTATCAAGACCCTACTCAACAAAGAGGCAGTAGAAGAGATAGATCAAGATCTCATCACACCCGGGTTCTACTCCCCAATTTTCCTGGTACCGAAGAATTCCAAGGAGAAATTTCGGCTCATCTACAACATGAGGAAGTTCATGAGGAGTATCTACACAGACCAGCAAAATTCAAGATGATACATCTTCCTCAGCTCCGACATCTCGTTCGTCCAGCAGACTACCTCGCCAACATAGATCTACAAGATGCATACCTCCACATCCCGATACATCCAGACTCAAGGAAATACCTAAAATTCCTTTTCAACGGATATCACTTCAGCCCTCAGTACAGTTATCACCATGAAAACGGGTATCAAGCTGACCAAAGTACCACAGATTCTGGCACTACTACGCTCGTTCAAGTTGGAAGACCAACAAAAGAAATTTAAGGCTCCTGCCTGGGATCTCAGCATAGTTCTACAACATCTCACCAGTGATGCCTACGAGCCTCTAGAACGGACATCCTTTGAACTACTAACTCAGAAAACGCTGTTCCTGATCGCCCTAGCAACAGCTGCACAGATGTGAGAAATACATGCTCTAGACTTTGAATGAACACGATTTGAATCAAGACATCGTGACATCGTACATCTAGGACTGAGATGGGATTTTATTGCCAAGAACCAACTGCCCGGTCAGCCTGACAGACAGTTCCACATCCCAGCACTCTCTACAGTCCTTGGGCCACAAGATACGCAGGATCTATCCTTATCCCTAGTCAGAGCACTTAAAGTCTAATTAAGGAGATGAAAATTCAAGTGCCTATTCATCCCATTATCCACTGAGACGCCCACGAAAGTCTCACGGACAACCATATCGATCTGGATGAGAGCCGTTATACTAAGGGCCTATAAAGCAGCAGGACTTGAGCCTGCACGAGCCTCCAACCCACACGAAGTCAGAGCCCTGGCGTCTACACTTGCTCTGCATGGACTCTGCTCGATTACAACTATAATGGAGGGCTGCTTTTGGAGATCGAACACGGTGTTTGCCAACCACTACCTCAGAGACATTGCCACCCGAAGACGTATCAGGCATTCACCAGCTTGGGCCACTTGTTGTAGCACAACAACTAACCATTCCACAAAGGCGCTGAGTAAATCTCACCCCTTTTATCACGTGACTTGTGAAAACCAACGCTCTGGAGAGCAATGGCTGTAAGTCCATGCACACGTCTAGGACAGACTAGCATGAGTGATAGACCCTGTACTTGTATAGGACATACTCGTACATGAAGAAGGGTCGCATCTCCACTTGATGCGCGCATCAAGAGATGGAGTTGCAATAGATAACTAATGGAATATTAGTATATCTAAAATCCACACGAAAATGTCAGGAGAAGTTTTGGAAGAAATCTGACAAGTTGTGGTTCCCCCCAGACTCGTCAGAGGAAGTTGAAAGAACAGAATCATCAGCAGTGCCATCATAAGTTCCCATGGGGGGGTAATACAGGACGTAAAACAACAGCCAGAGAATCCAGAAGTGGCCTGACCCACCACCGATATCGATGGATTCTGCAAGCATAATTAGCATGAGTCAGGATAAGGAAAAATATGTAATTTTCTGACTAAAATTGATATTTTATACTTATCCTGACTCATGAGGTTAGCCCTCCCAACCTCCCCTCTTATGGCACTCAGGATTTCCCTGTAAATCCGGGTGTCGGGCATACATACGGAGAGAGTGACAAACATGGCTGGTCATGTGACCAAAAAGGGCGCCAAAAGGGAGGAAAGGGAGACTACTCGAGGGTGAGTGATTTTAAGTCCATTTTTTTAGAAGGGAACTTCAAGGGATTTCAAGTGTTCCACTATCATTCGCAAGAGGAAGGAGACAAGCATAATTAAAATGAGTCAGGATAAGTATAAAATATCAATTTTAGTCAGAAAATTACATATATTTGGTGTCATGTTTTCGACAAGATAATGCTAAATCTTGTTGTCAGCTGTGTGGACTTGGATTTATTGTATGTTTTGATTGCATTACCGGATTGATGTCTTACACTGTATCCATGTACCCCACAGACCATCCAAGACAAAGAAGAAACTGAAGACCAGCTCCAACCCCAGTATTGGCAGTGGCATGACCTCCAAGAGCTCTGCTGCAGAACCCAACATCGACTTTGAGCTGGATGTGAAAGTGTTCATCGACAGCGGCAAGTGTGTGCTGTATCCTAAAGAAGCCAGGGATGAGGAGGTCAAGAGGTGAGGTCACTACACACTCTCCTTTCTTTCTTGAAGATCAATTAATAGATCAGGATTTCAAATTTAGACCACACCAGAATGTGGCCTTACAACTGGATACTATGGTTAGAAGGGTCTCTGGTGGTCACCGTTAGTGGATGCGATTAGTTCTTGGATGAACAGACCATCACTCATCTAAGGCACCGGGGCGGTGGGGTAGCCTAGTGGTTAAAGCGTTGACTCGTCACTCCGAAGACCCGGGTTCGATTCTTCACATGGGCACAATGTGTGAAGCCTATTTCTGGTGTCCCCTGCCGTGATATTGCTGGAATATTGCTAAAAGCGGCGTAAAACTAAAACTCAGTCAGTCAGTCATCTAAGGCACCATAATTTGATATGCAGAGTTGTGTCCCTTGATTAGGTTCAGGTGTATCCTTATTATCATGTTTTATCAGTGGTTTTCACCAAAGTGGAGCACATGACTTGCCTCCCTTTGTGCTTCCGTGATCTGTAGGCTCTTTTCATAATGTATTGTTGTCTTATGGTTGCATGGTTGCATGCTTGTTATAATACAAATCTGTGATACTCTGGTTGTTTACATGTACATCGTTGACAGGTTTTTATGTAATCTATAAGTGTTAATTTCTAATGTATGAATTGTTCCAGTCACGCTGTGGCTGAAAAACTAAAGGTGTAACATCAAATTAAACTCATTCACTGATTCCATTCTGTCTTGTAGACAACAGAAGAGAGAGAGAAACCTGTCTGGAGAGCAGACGGCATCACCTGTGATGAGGCGGAAGCTGAAGAGACAGGAGTCATCTTCCACTCTGCTTCAGAGCAAGAAGAGTATTGCACCACCCCAGGTCACCGTGGAAACCACAGTCTTTTACCTACCAAGTGTTGATGTCAAGGTAAGGGAATGGTTGAAAATGTCCTGAGTTGGGATGAGGACAAATCATGAATAAGTAATAAGAATGCCAGTTTACAAAAGGATGAGGAATCATTAGGACCATTTTGGGCCAAGTAAATCTGCATTACGTGAGAAATAAAGACTGTTTGATATATTCTTTCATATTTTCTGTCCCTCATAAATAATTTCTGAAAGTCCATCACCAAAGCCTTGTGGCTTACATTCTCTCTCTTGGAACAGATAATCCAAAATTTGTCGCATCTCTCTGGCAATTTTCTAACTCTTTCTTCATTAATTCCTTTATGACTTGGCTGATTGTGTGTCTGCCTACCGCTGCTCACTATATCAATCACTCGTCCACAGTGTGCGAAATAGCTTCCAAAGTTTGCTAGCCAATTGGGCTAGCTATGCCTGAAAGTTACTAGGCCACACAGACTGTCTCCGTGGTGTAGTGGTTAGAGCGTCCGCCCGGAGAGCGGAAGGTCGCGGGTTCGATCCCCGACCGCGTCATACCAAAAGACGTTAAAATATGGTACTTGTTGGTCCCTGCCTGGCGTTCGGCATTAATGGGTACAACAAGGACTGGTCGGCTCGGAGTCAGTATAATGTGTCCTAGTGGGGTATTCATGTTTCACTGCGGCATGGTATCTCAGTGGGCTATTACTATAAAACCAGCTTAAGTCTGGGCTAGTACAAGCAGCCGCACATACACATAGCAATGAAATATTGCTAAGAGTGGAGTAGAATCACCCTGACTCCTGCTGTCTTCCACTTCTATCCAGGTCCACTACTACTCCAAGACCACACTGGCGGAGTTGCCACACAGCACAGGCAGCATCTCTGATGGGGAGAAGATGTTCTCCTCCAGTCTCGACCGACCTGATCTCACAACACAGTCATCGACAGATGTGTTTGTCACACAGACGGATGGCAACTGGGACAACATCGACAACGCCTCCAGTGTGTCCGTCCCTAGTCGTAGAGGGGCTGTCAAGAAGGCCAACCTGTATGCTTGGCTGTCATTACAGAAACTGCCTGAGGTAGATAGGACACTGGCACCTTTCAAAACAAAAACTAGGGCTAATTTAGTCTAAATTTACTTTACTACCTGCGTACCTGTCCACCTATTACACAACCCAACACAGATACCCACGGCAGGTCTCAAGTTGTGTATGAAATTTTCAATTGAGAATTGTTTACTGGGACCTCCATAAACACTATATACAGTGAAACCTGTCTAAACCGGTACCCCACGGGACTGAAATAAAATGCCGGTTTAGACAGGGTGCCAGATTAGACAGGGATGATCATTTTCCAATATGGCTGCCATTTACACTCGTCAATGTGCTTATCTCTATAGTCCCTTTGATCTTTTTGATCTTTTATAATTGTGCGACAAATTAAAACAATGTTGATGACATAATTATTCTTTATTCAGCACTAAACATTGTTCAAAACAAACCCATCACGACACACAAAGTGTATTGGATTATGGGTCCTTGATTGGACTGCTCATACCCATGCGGGTTTAGACAGTGTCAATTACAATCAAAATTGCTTGTAGGGACTGGAAAGTCGTGCCGGAATATGGAATAGACAGGTGCCGGATTAGACAACGTTTTAGTGATCATAATATCGTTGTAAAATGGCGGGATCAAAATTTTATGCCGGTTTTGACAGTATGCCAGATTAGGCAGGTGCTGTTGTTGGCAGGATTCACTGTAGACTCATTCACCAAACAATCTGATCATGCACATACTCGAGTTGACTGAAGCTTTGTCTTTTCTAATAACAATGATTAGGATGAAATGAAAACAGTCACTTTCATCCGTGAAACATTTTACATTTGAAAAGTGAAAGGAGAAATAATGGACATGGACTGAAATAACAAAACCATTCACATATAAATAGAAATGTCAAATAGAGTACTTGACTGTTGTATCAGGTGCAAAAGTTTTCAAGTTAGATGGAAAATGTTCAATAGTATGTAAGGGTCCCCCTGAATTATCCAGTATATTTCATCTCAATTATATTTATGTTTTTTTTCTTCATGTAACACTAAAAATGGACAATCGAATGAATTACACTCTCGGGAGGGAGAGGAAAAATGTGCTAAGTTCATGATAAGAGAGACTAAGACTTCCATAACGAAGCAACTGGGTGGAAGGTATTTATCTAGAATGGAGAGATTATACCCATGATCACTGAGGAGCTGACTCCGTCAAATGTTAATATCAATATTAATGGTCCACAGGAGATGATCATCAGTCCTTGCCTGCTAGATTTCCTGGAACAAGCTCTTGAGCCTCTACCATTCTCAGCACCCTTACACAAGAAAGGTGAGATGCATGTAGAGGTGCAGGGAGAATTAATAGGAGTAGGAACCTGAATCTGTTGTGCCCAGTAATTGCGGTTTGATTCCCAGTATGGCCACAGTGTGAATATCCAAGATCCAAGAACATCCCGTCCGTCACGGGTCACTCCAGAACAATCTTTCATTCAGCCAAACTGAGTGTTGTGTAACAGATCAAAAAAGAGAAAGTCAGAATATGTTTTCTGATTATGCAACCTGGAAAAGGCTTAAAAAATTGTCCATCTGTCGCTGCAATGAGATAAACTTTTGAAATAAGTAAGGCTGGAATGGAAGCTTCCAGTTTGAAGCTTGTGCTAGGAAAGTTATTAATGTAGTGTCATGTACCTTAGGTTTGAATCTCAGATTTTTGTGATTATGATCTTTAGCTTACCAGCACCATGTATCACTTTCTCACTCCTACAGTGCAGTGACTTCAATAATAACTCACTCTCTCACTATCTGGCAGACCTGATGGGTAGTGTCCTCAACATGGATCTGGATGCGTCCCAGGCCTCGCTGGGGTCACCGGTCAACGTGGCTTCCTTCCCTGTGGATGTGGTGGTCTACATCAAGGTGGAGCCGTCCGTCATCCGCTTCAACTGCCGACCCATATCTCGCGTGGAGTGTCTGCTCCAGGTGCCCTCCCTGGAGCTTGTCTTCTCCACCAAGAAGTCTGACCTGGACGGCTCCATTGCTGAAGGAACGCCGCCGATGAAGGCAAAGGGTAAGTTGCTGGCCAGAGAAAGAGAATCATCTCTGCCATACTTGTGTGAAATCAACTCATTAATTATTGAACAATTTTGGTCCAGTAATAGAGGAACTTTACATTAGCATTGTTTTTCCCCAGTCCCAAAACGAAGCCATGAATGGGTGCACAGCAACTCTACGTCCTCACGGAGCCGACTGAGCAGCACCATGTCCGAAGGCTCCTCCTCAACCCACTCTGGAGGCCTGAGTGTCACCGGCTGCCTCTCTGACTTCTCACTGTATGTCTTCCACCCTTACGGAGGGGGGCAAAGACGCCTAGGTAAGTCACTCCACTGTCAGTAGAATCATGTCAGAGAAAAATAACACTGAAATGATGTACAGAAATGGTTGTGGCGCAGGGATGCCAGCCATTCAGATTTGGTGGGGCGGGACCTTACTGGTTAAAGCTTTTGCTTTCCGAAGACCCGGGTTCAAGAACCCACGTGGATACAATGTATGAAGCCTATTTCTGGTGTCACCAGTGTGATATTGCTGAAATGTTGCTAACAGCGACAATAAACCTTACTTATTATTATTATTATTATTATTATTATTATTATAGGATATTTATATAGCGCACATATCCACGCACTAGTGCATGCTCAAGGCGCTGGTATTTTTTCCCTCGATCATTGGATGTCAATCTCAACAGCACATCGCATTATCAATCTCAACTCCCTGAGGAGTATACAACTCTTGCAGCCACTAGGCGCACCGAGTTATTGTGGCTTTCTCATCCTTAGTCACACTCTAATTATGGTATAGTGGCTTAGAATTATACTTATTTACCCCATTCATTATTCCAAAGCTTCATTGAAGGTTGGTATCTCTGATTGGGGTAGCCTTGTGGATAAAGTGTTCGCTCATCACACTGAGTGTCTGGGTTTGATTCTCTGAAGCTCATATCTACACTACCCTGCCATAATATTGATGGAATATTGCAAAAGCGGACGTAAATTCATGCTCACTAACTACAGAAAATGTCACAGACTCTGAGACTCACAGGAATAAGGATAATGTCTTACAATAAATTGCTACTAAAAGTGCTTTACATTGTGATATGTCCATTGCTTTGAGACTACTGTAGAATGATGTTGATGGAAGGATCTGTATTCAACAGGCAGTATACAGGAGCATGCAGGGGGAAGGGTGCTGGAGATGTCCCGCAAGGACTCTCTCAGCCTCAATGTGGAGTTCATCAAGGTGAACATCGCAAGGAGTCGGAAGATGGAGTTGCGGGGAGCTTCGGAAAACTCGGTGTCAGCCAACAAGGAGGCCCAGATGAAGTCAAATGTGGTCAGGTTCTCAGGTGAGTGCTGGAGGATTTGACCTTGACCTCATCCATTGTGATCTGCTTTTGTTAATAATCAAACAGAACCTGACCTTGACCTCATTTATACGTCATTTGACCTTGACCTTATTCAGTATTTTCGGACTTTGACAATACCCAACAGAACCTGACCTTGACCTCATTTATTAATCATTTGACCTTGACCTCATTCAGTATGACCTGACTTTGTCATCATCAAGTAGAAGATCACTTCAAGTGGAATTTTGCCTTATCAACAATATAGCCTGAACCTTATCTCACAGGATGGGATCCAATCTGTGCCCAAACTAAATCCATCTTCTTCTTTCAGCCATCTGTGACATTGGCACAGCCAGTTTCAAATACGATATGAGACGTTTGTCCGAGATTCTATCTCTACCTAAGGCCTGGTACAGGAGAAACCTGGCCCGCCGCCTGTTCCTGGGAGACGAGAGCATCGTGCACACACCGGGTGATGCAGGTAGGTGAACAATGGATTTTGTTGCATGTTGAATCAGACTGTGTTGCATGGTATTGTACCAAGAATGTCAACTTCCAAACCTATTTCACCATCACTGAATCATTGCGTATATGTTCATAAAGCCATCTGAATTATGTGGCATTATTTAATTCATGCTCTGATAATCACTTGAATCCCACAACAACTATTCATGTGTTTGTACTTCAGAAGAAATGTAGATGTGTATCTTGTTCACAAGACATCAGAAAGAACACTTGGCATGATAATATAGAGTAATATTTCTTGATGTGTATGTCTTTATGTACATATGTACCATGGAATTGGGAAATGTTACACAAAAGCAGATTCTACAGGGATTTGAGCAGTGTATCCATTCACAGAGATTTAAGTGAATAATGTTTCTCTCCATGTACTTTCACATCTATATAATCAATTAGAGGTTGTTTCGGTTTGTGTCTGTCCCATCAGATGGAAGATTTATTTAGTTCCAAGTTTGGTTCTGGATCCGGATCACTAATGAGCTACTCACTGTTTGATAAGACTATTCAGCTGTGTCAAATGCCTCCATCAAAAGTATTTAGTAGAAGATTGTTACATGTTTGGTTCATGAATATATTTTGATAATTATGTCCTTCACCGTAATGAACATTTCTGGTGTTCCCCAACCCTGATATTGCTGGAATATTGCTAAAAGCGGCGTAAAACTAAACTCACTCACTCTTCACTGTAACAGTGGTCCAGTCTCATGAGTACTGTTGTCTTGGATGTTTTTTGTACTATGCCCGTTTTCTGTATTTTATATCTACAAATGTAGACTTAGTGTTCTGGGTTGTAGTTTAGTGTCATTGTTGAAAGGATCATTGTTATAAATATTACTGATTGTTTTATTGTCTTTGTAATCCATTTAATTTTCGTTAGTATTAGATATCTCCTAGTGCATCTGAGGCACAAAATCCCTTTTAAAAGGCTGAAGAATAATGCTTGGTTCTCACACATATCTATCTGTTGTAGCTCATAATATTTTATATATGCTTTAAATAAATGATTGAAGAAATCATTTTAAAAATGTTAACTGTAAAATATTACCAAAACGTATAGCTTGAGAACTAGCTGATTTGTTTCAGCGTTATAGATGTCTCTTATCGTTATGTCTATATTTCATTACTATTTCCACACTGTTTGATGCCTAACCTTTGATGGAGTGTTTTCTTTTCTTTTTGTCTTCAGTTTATTATTTTAAATAATATGCCATGCTTTTAGTACCGTGTTGCCATGCATTGTCACTTTTCAGGTTAAGAAAGTACCTCCCAAATTCAACCATTGTTTATGCACTGCCATATTTTGTTTCCCGAATGTTGTAAGCTTTGAGTTTTCTGTGAGATTAATTTTTCATTTATTTGTTGCGTGTTGTTGCTTTGTTTCCAGAAGTAGATGTCACCTTGTCTTCAAAACATCCAACTTTGTCAACACAAGCCTCTCTTTCATTCCCTTCCCTAACCGTATTAGAGGAGAATGAACCTTTCCGGCTAACTCATCATCGAAGGGTTTCCTCTGGAGATAAAGTTAAAATCCAGATCAGTTCTGACCTGAAGAAAGAAATATCCCAGAAATCATCCTTGAGAGGTGTGGTTATAGTTACATCAGAAACTAGCCCTGTATTACTGGGGTTGTATACCATTATTACTTGTATTATGTACCATGTATTACTGAGATTATATACTATGCATTCCTGGGGTCATATTCCAGGTATTACTGGGATTATTTACCATCTATTGCAGGGTTATATGCCATAAATTACTGGGGTCATATTCCATGTATTACTGGGATTATATACCATGTATTGCAGCGGTTATTACTGGGGTCATATTCCATGTATTACTGGGGTCATATTCCATGTATTACTGGGGTCATATTCCATGTATTACTAGGATTATATATGCTGTACTGCATGGGTCATATTCCATGTATTACTGGGGTCGTATTCCATGTATTACTGGGATTATATACCCTGTTTTGCAGGGGTTATTACTGGGGTCATATTCCATGTATTACTGGGATTATATACCCTGTATTGCAGGGGTTATTACTGGGGTCATATTCCATGTATTACTGGGGTCATATTCCATGTATTACTGGGGTCATATTCCATGTATTACTGGGGTCATATTCCATGTATTACTGGGATTATATACCCTGTTTTGCAGGGGTTATTACTGGGGGTATTACTGGGGTCATATTCCATGTATTACTAGGGTCATATTCCATGTATTACTGGGGTCATATTCCATGTATTACTGGGATTATATACCCTGTATTGCAGGGGTTATTACTGGGGTCATATTCCATGTATTACTGGGGTCATATTCCATGTATTACTGGGGTCATATTCCATGTATTACTGGGATTATATACCCTGTATTGCAGGGGTTATTACTGGGGTCATGTGCATGTATTACTGGTCATTGTATTACTGGAGTCATATTCCATGTATTACTGGGATTATATACCCTGCATTGTAGGGTTATTACTAGGGTCATATTGCATGTATTACTGGGGTCATATTCCATGTATTACTGGGATTATATGCCATGTATTACTGGGACCATATTCCATGTATTACTCGGGATATGTATCAATTATTACTGGGAATATTACTGACATTATATGTATTGTATATGGGCCTATGACCACTGCGTTAATCTAAATAACAACCTATTCTAAGAGCTGGGGTAATATATTCTTGTCCACTAAACAGCTCAAACAACTTTATGCCAAATAGAATATTGACTTACTTGCCGTCAGTAAATCTTAAAATAAGGTTTAGTTCAAAATGCTGGAATTATGATGAGGTGGATTCAAGGTACAGGAAGCCTCATGGATGTATTATATACTGGTGTGTGGAGTTACTGGCAGAAGTGCCAGGAATTTATTAACAGCAGGGTAAGATTTTGTACATGTTACTAAGTCATCAAGGTGTGTATCCATATCTCTATTATTGCTCCGTATATTGTAAACAGATGATACTGTTTGCTAAAGTTGAACTGTATGTCCCAAGTAGGGTAACATCCAGCTTTTCAGCCCTGTGTGGAAACCACATCCATGTCCCAACTAGGGTGACATCCAGTTGTTTAGTTCTGTGTTGAAACAGTGTGGAAACAACATCCACATCCCAGGTAGCATGCTGTCCGCCACCATGTTCTATATCACATTACCCATCACGTCTGACTGTCGTCTTGTTGATACAAAATATACTTTGTATTCTTTATTGTTTTCTTTATCTTTATCGTCTTCATGTATTTTAGTATAGTTTGACTTTAAATGTTTTTGAAATGTGTACACTCTTTCAATTTTCAAAGTATTTATCCTTAGTCTTTTATCCCTAAAAACTTCTCCAGTTTTCAATTGAAGTTCATGTTCGCATGATTTTTTTTGAGTGCTTGTTGATTTGACACTCACGATTTAATACTTACTTAATATTCTATTGCGAATACAGTGACACATTGTTATACATTGATAAATCTATACTTCATTTTTGCATAATTATTTGGACACCAAGGTTTGACATTTCACCTGGTACTATAGAGAATTCCCAATCAATATTGGTCCCAAATACTGTATGCTTGTCATAAGAGATACTCACTGGGGTCAGACTTGCTGACTTTGGTTTAAAGAGTGTCAGTATATCCTATAGTCTGTTTGCAGTGAAAATGTACCGGTGAATTGCACTTTAAACGAAAATGTACAGGGGTAAATCGAATAAAGTGAAATTAATTCTACCTTGCCAATTGAACATTTAAATCTTAGATTTTTATTCAACTTAGGAAAAAAGTTGTTTAACAAACGATCATAGTTTCAAATCACTTATATTGGTTTGTATTACAAGGGGGTAAGCGCAGTAGTTGGAACAGTGAAACAAATGCACGTGTGGTACGTGATGAGCGTTAACTTAGACCAACCCTACTTGATCTCGGTGTTCCATTTTATGTGCATACCCCCTTGTAATACAAACCAATAATACCGATTTGAAACTATGATCGTTTGTTCCCAAGTTGAATAAAACTCTGAGATTTAAATTTTCAAATGGCAAGGTAAAATTATGAGGATTCGCAATCTTAATTTCACTTTATTTGATTTACTTTTTAGTTTAAAGTGAAATTCATCGGTACGTTTTCACCGCAAACAGACTATAGTCGAGGTGATGATTACTGCTAATATCAATCAGTGGTTTAATAGACCAGATTATTTGCAGGACAGCTTCATATGGCTGAAATATGCCTGAGTGGTGTGTTCAGCAAGAAACTAATCTGGTACACCAGTAACTCAGGGGGTGTCACTGTGTTCACAGTACGTCTCACTGAAAGACTTACTAACATCCACCATACCCTGCTTGTTGTGTCTAGGGTCATCAGTCCCTCAATCTCCAACAGAGGGAGGAGGTAGTAATGTCACTCCCAGGCTGGGGGCTTCGGGAGGACGCAAGTCTCGAGCCTACTCCTCCCCGGAGACAGGTCGCCATCGGTCGTCATCAGCGCCACCTGCACCAACCAGCCGATCCAGCAAGTGGGAGACCCTTGTGTTGTTTGCTGTCAACCTGTCCAGGCTCGATGTGGACGTCAACATGAGCAATGTCATGGGAAATACCCTGTAAGTCATCCCGTTAACAAATTGGTGAAGGGGAATACTGGACTCAATTTTCTTTGGGCAGATTGACCAATAGAGTACAAACAGTTCAGTCATGGATAAAACTGGAATGTTTTGGGTAATAGTTATGATGCAATTATTTTTACACTAATGTGTTTTCTGTAAAAAAAAATCTACTCACAAGTCACGTGATCTTGAAAATAATGTTAATCATCAGTTACCCTCTTTTCACCTCACCTCACCTCACCTCACCTCACCTCAACTCACCTTAACTCACCTCAACTCACCTCATGTCTGTTATATGGAGGTGGGCCTTGGTAAGAGGTGTGTGGTTTGAATGCAGAGGTGGAACTTGGAGTGTCTTCTCATGCCACTATTGTTTTAACTTATGTGTTAACTCTCGTACTTCTGTGTTTACTCAGGGCAGTGCGGTAGCCTAGTGGTTAGAGCGTTCACTCGTCACATCAAAGACCTGGGTTCGATGCACCACATGTATGAAGCCCATTTCTGGTGTCCGTGATATTGCTGGAATATTGCTAAAAGCGGTGTAAAACCGAACTCACTCACTCCCTCTGTGTTCACTCTTGTGTCTGCTGTGCCTATTGAGCACTAGGGAGCTGAGTGTCTTCTAAAGTCATTCTTGTTTTAACTTCCGTGTCAACTCTCGTATCTTCTGCGTTAATTGCGTGTCTGCTGTGCAGATGGAGCACAAGGGAGCTGAAGAGTCATGGCCGACTATCTATAGACAGCAGTGGACACAAGAACCTCAAGATAACTGGAGGGTTGGGAGGATCGTCCTTTGAGTCCCGTGGAGGTGTTGTAGGTGGCGCCATCGACCTACAGGGTCTGCAGACTTTCTGTGAGTAATGGACACATTTCACAGTAACACTGCATTAATCATATTAGCAAAAAGCATCTAGTTGTGCTCCAACACTATCAAACTATTCTTTCTATACAGTAGAGTATGCATTGTAAAATATATTGATTATGGCTGGGTTTTAAGAGAGCTATGAACATCTATTTTCTAAAACTGATCAGAAGCACAATCTTTAGTAACATAACCATTAACAAAGGGAGTTAATTCAACAATTCAGCAGCTGTGCAAGCCTCTATAAAATATATCTTCACAGCAATGTTACCGCTGTAAATGAATACACGTTTTACTGACCTCCAGTCCATGTAACGGAGGACCCGGAGCTGGGCAAGGACCCGGACCATCGAGCAGGTCTGACCCTGGAGGCCATCGAGGGTCGTGTGGACTACATGGGCAGCAGTGTCCTGATGACAAGGCTTAGCCGCCTGGACTTGCTGCTGCGTGACGAGTGGCACGTAGAGTCCGAAACACAGAACGACACACCGCTCGCCACCAAGAGGTCAGTCTTTATAGGTCCAGAGAAGTGGTACATACCTGCATCACCATATTAAAAGCATATAAAAAATATGTATTTTGAAGTAGATTGCATGTGATTCTGTGGCAAAGGGTTTCTTGGCAATTTCATCTTTTTGTTCACTCAGTGGATAGAATGATTGGTTGCATTGTTGTTTAAAGCCGCAGTCAGCAAATTCCAGCTATATGACGGCGGTTTGTAAATAATCAAGTATGGACCAGACAATCAATAACTTTAGATAAAAATATAAACAGTGGCAACAGTACAATAATACAATACTAGCCCCATTCACTCTATTACCAGACCCATGATGATCCAGGTAAGAATTGATCTTCAGTAACCCATGCTTGTCGCAAGAGGCGATTAATGGGTCGGGTAGTCAGGCATGCTAATTTAAACAATAATATATGAAGTTATATATGTATGTTTTTACGCAACGCACAAATGTAGAGAATTGTTCACATGTTCACCGTGTCCTGAGGGACGCTCAGTATTATTCACTGTACCGACAATGCTTCATTTCATCCACCAGTCCATATGATCAAGGATTCATTCCAGGCTCTAAAGAAATTATCAAAACATACAGTTCTCTACACCGTTACTTCACAGGACCCTCATATTGCGTGCTAGGACCCCTAAAACTAATAATTGGGGGTCCTTGGGACCCCTTATTTATGAGTCGAAGTAAAACCCTGCATACATATGACATATTTTGCCAGATCGGCCTACTTGTTTGTGAATGGTGATCTGCACTGGGACCAGTTCCATCTGATGATCTCGAGGTCTACAACTCCTGACCTCATTAAGCTGGTGGCCAAGCTTGACGAGTTCTTCACACAGCAGCTGACCAGCAGTAAGCGAGTCCTATCGGCATTCGGGCCCATCCCATCACGGAACCGGACAACATCGCAGAGGAAGTTGTCAGAAGATAGTGAGTGTAAGCTTGAGACCAAAAACTGAGGACGTTGTGTGTAGGGGATGTTAGATGGGTATAATGGCAAGAGTCTTGAGTCAATGTTTATTCAATATTGGTTGACTAAGTGTTTACCTTTCACACTTAAGGCCAAGGGTCCCGATCCACCTGTTGTAACTTTGTAGTTTATCACAGGCTTATAAATGTCCTAGAACTACGAAAGTTTTATGGATTGGGACCCTAGTTCTGTTCTCAAGATGGGTACAATGTGTGAAGGCCACTTCTGCTGTTCACTGCCATGATATTGCCGGAATATTACTTATGATTCTTTTTCAGAAGAAGTCCTCCTTGGGGTACATATATGCACTAAAATGTCCATTTTAAAAACCTACAACAGTTGTAACTATATTTTAATAAAAATATTTACAAAACAAAAACACGTTTTTGTCTTGTGAGACCACCCCTACAGGACCCCCGAGGGGCCCCCTAACGGCTAGAGCAGGTAACTCTAGCCCACAACCTCGCACCTAACTTTTCATGCTGTCGTTCCCTGAGATAGACGTGCGTGGTTTGTTCATCGAAGTTTTTGTACTTATTCCTATGGAAATGAGTGGAAAAGGGTCACCTTCTGTATGTATGGTTCCTTTTCTTTCGCATGGGCGCTAGATGGAATTTATAGGTTGAATTTTTCATTCATGATTGTTGTAACTTTGCCAGTCGGGTCCCATTTTCCAGCCATGTGGCAGGCAAGAACTTCAGCACAATCTGATTCTGCTTCTGCACCCTTAAGATTAACAGAATTATCTTCAATCTTGCAGCAACAGATGACTTCGGTTAGTTCACTGATCTTGGACGCGATGTCCCGGTCTACGGCAGGAGATCGGTATCCGTTCGGGGGTTAGTGGCGATCCGGGGTCGTCTGTCGAAGGTACCCCTACCTCGGGCTTAGGCTCAGGGACGGGTTCTGCCTCTGGGGGAGTGCTTGCTCCGAGCCTCGGCTCTGGTATTGGCCTTTCTGCCGGTGCAGTTGTGTCTGACCCGAGCCTCGGCTCCAGTACAGTCCAACTCACCGGCGCTGGTCCTTCGTGTCCCGTACCGTTGGCAACCAGCACCCAAGCTGGGGGTACTCGAGCATCGGTGTTGCCGATCGCCTCAGTGCCCTCCAGTGTTCAGGGGAATCCTGCTTCGGCAGGCACTTCCCTCGGTGCTCAGCGACTAGGTTCAGCCTCGAGCCTAGGGTCGGTCGAGCCAGGCTCCTCGGCTCTTTTTGCTCCGTTGGCTATGTCTGTAGAACCGACTTCCGTGATTTCGGAGGTGACGCTTGATATTGAGAGTTCACTCCTGGAGGAGCGGGCGGAGGAAGGAGGAGGAAGCCATGGATGAGGAGGAAGCCATGGATGAGGACGAGGGGCAGGAGACGTCGGGGGAAGGTAACTTCTCGCTTGGCCCGTCCCTGCGGCAAGAGCCATGTGGTTCGTCTAGAAATGGACAATCAAACGGCGATGTCCTACATCCTGAAGCAGGGCGGTACGGTGTCTCCGTCACTCCTTCAGGAGGCGTGGCAGTTTCTACTGTGGTGCGATCAGTTCAACATACGGGTTATGCCCGTTTATCTCCCGGGGGAGGACAACGTACGTGTAAATGCGCTCTCACGTCGTATCCTGGCCCCTCACGAGTGGTTACTTAACCGGGAGATATTCGGGATTATCTCCCAGTTGTTCGGGTCGTTCAAGGTGGATCTGTTTGCCTCTGAGGTGACAAACCAGACTCCGGTGTTTTGTTCGATAGGACGGACAGGGTTCTGTGGGCTTTCCCACAGATAGCCCTGATCTCCAGGGTCCTATCGCAGCTAGTCACCCAACCAACGCGACTACTTGTGCTTCTTGCACCTCTGTGGTCGTCTCAGCGCTGGTTTCCAGTAATACTTCCGGTCGCCTCGTACAGCCACCTGTACTTTTACCAATGCGTCCGGACCTTCTATCCCAGAACGGCCAGCCACACCCAGATCCCAGGATCCAGTGGGTGGCTTGGCCACTGTCCGGGAGCCGCCTCCAAGCGTGCAGAATTCCTGCACCAGTTGCAGACACAATTCTGGCTTCGCGGAGGGATTTGACTAACGTACAGTATGAGGCTAGATGGGCCTGTTATACAAGCTGGTGTGGAAACAGAGGGATAAACACTTGCGTGAGCGTGCTCGGTTTGGCCAAACGGTTTATCCACAGTGGGCAGAGTAGCACCTCTCAAGCCAATTGAGCCTTGTTGAGGATGTACACTTGGTGCCATTTTTCCACGCTTGGCTAGCGGTGTACTATGGACAGTAGTTTGTTTTGGCGAGTCCCCTGTATTCACTCACTTCCACCTATCAGGTTGGGAGGTGGAGTTTATCACGGTGGGTGTGTCACCGATAGGCCAATGGGCATATATGCTTGACATCCCGGGTCCTCGCCCTAGCCACGCAGTCCGCCTTGATTGAAATGGGCTGTCATGTGACTAGGTAAGTGTAATTCTCTATTTCCGTAAGATTGTAGATCGTTACTTCGATTGGATCAATGTGTCAGACAGAATACCACTCCCTGTTTTATTGTCTTTGGGAGTCTGTTTTATGCTTATATGTACCCCAAGGAGGACTTCTGAAAAAGAATGATACAAACCTGTAGAGGTTATGAATTCTTTGAAGAAAGTCCTCCTTGGGGTACGGCCACCCGCCTCCCCTCATTCTGTCTGATTACGTTCAGCATGAAAAGTGAGAGGCGAGGTTGTCGGCTAGAGTTACCTGTTCTTTCCGGTAGGGGGCCCCAGTTACAACTGTCGTAGGTTTTTAAAATGGACATTTTAGTGCTTATATGTACGTACCCCAAGGAGGACTCTCTTCAAAGAATTCATAACCTCTACAGGTTTGTATAAATGTAGTAGCACTATGACTGTTTCTTGGATCAGGACCCTAGTTCAGTTCTCAAGATGGGTACGATGCGTGAAGACCACTTTTTCTGGCCTTCGCCATGATATTGCTAAAATCGTCATAATCACGACTATTCATGTAACTTGTTACAGTGTTATCTGAGTTGCGGCACCACCGACACTGGCAGGGGGCACTGGAGCAGCTGGTCGGGTGTAACTTCCGCATGCTGCCACAGATACTGCCAAGTGAGGGGATGATCCTGGGGGGCACCGTCACGCTCCAGGGGGAGAACCTGTCCCTCGCATCATTCCATGGCATCAACTTCAGATCCAAATCCTGGGCCATCTTCAACATCCGAGAACCGTACATCTATTTCTCCACAGAGGCGCAAAATACACCTGACAGAGGTAGGAAGGAATCTCCATTAGGTGTCACGCTCAAACTTTCATTATGATGTTGACATATGGCTCAGTTTTAGATTTGATTGAAGAAATAATGCATACTCTTTTTAGTACTACTGCTGGAAAGCATGATTGGAAAAGTGTTTTAAGATCTAAACACCTACTGGAGTTATCAATGTTGACATCATGCCATTATCCCTGAATCTCTACCAAGCTGTGAACCTTTTCAAGACTCCTCAAACCCAACAACATTGTGTTTCAAAACTACATAAACACAACATCATATCACGTCTTTATTTGCCACAATACTTCAAGAACACATCACACTTTTGAACGGTATGCAGTTAAACTTCACACTTTCACGCCACATTGCTTTCTTTTATGCAACACCACACCTTTTAGTGAAATCACACACTAAAACTTATCAAACATTTGACTCACATTTATCCATTTGAATAGCATCACACATAGGGCACATGCCAAGCCTTTAAACCATGTGAGACCTAAAAAAACTAAACTAAACCTCATGCCTCCAATTCCCAGAATACTCAAACCTCTTCAACCTCCATTCGTGTTTGTCCAAATGTGCTCATGGATTTCATCAAAATGGTTCATGTCTTAGAATTGGCTTCTTGGTTTATGCTGTTAAACCCAATCCCCTCACTCGCTCTGTTACCTGCAGGTACCCATGTGGTCCAGGATCTCACCTTCATCATCGGTCAGAAGTCGACCAAGGGAGGCATGTCCAGCCAGCAGCCCCCTAACAGCTCCGCCCCCCACATGGCCACCATCTGCAAAGTGTCGCGAGGTCACTATGTTCCTCAGCAGTTCACCAGTGTTCAGGAGTGGTTTAACTATGCTTTCTCCTCCTCCGACATGAAAGGTACAAGCAACTGAAGTATAAGATACTTCAAACCTTCTATGAAGTACAAAAAAACTTTCTGTGAAGTACAAGAAGAAGTACTTCTTCCTTCAGACTAGTGAAAATCCGGGTTAGAAATGATCTTCAGTAACCAAGGCTTGTCGTAAGAGGCAACTAACAGGGCATGGTTGACACATGTTAATGTATCCCAATTGTGTTGATCGATGCTCATGCTGTTCATGATTGGATTGTCTGGTCCAGACTCGATTATTCACAGACCGCCGAGTGTGGCATAAAACTAAACTCACTCACTCACACTTCTTTCTTCAGAAGTTGCTCTGCAGAGTTACATCCCTTGGCATGCCAGAAACATGTCCCAGTTTGTCCTGATTTAGAAATATATTGTATTATATTATGAGAATAGGCACCCCTAATTTGATACTTAGTGATGTTTCTTGCAACATACCCATTTCAACTTTCCTCCCACCTTGAGCTGCCATGCTGTGATATAACTAGAATGCTGTTCAAACCAGTGTTAACTCTTTCCATTCGAGACCTGTGAAGATCCGTTGTAGAATAGGTCTTCAGCAACCCATGTGCTTGCCATAAAAGGCGACTATGCTTGTCGTAAGAGGCGACTAACGGGATCGGGGGGTCAGTTTTGCTGACTTGGTTGACACATGTCATCGGTTCCCAATTGCGCAGATCGATGCTCATGCTGTTGATCACTGGATTGTCTGGTTCAGACTCGATTATTTACAGACCGCCTCCATATAGCTGGGATATTGCTGAGTGCGGCGTAAAACTAAACTCACTCACTCAATCTTTCATTCGAAGGACGAGATATCAAGTCTGAGGGGTCACAACCCTTCAATACGAGACTATTTTTAGCAACATGATACTTACATACGAGGGACGTGATATCACGTCTCCATTGTTGCAACGGTTGACATGGACCATTCAAGAGGAACATAACATGTAACTCCATATGAACTGATTTTTTTCAAAACATCTTTATTCACTTTAATTAAAATATTCCAGACTAAAAGAGAAAATATTAGGTCATCTTCAGCCCAGAAACATTGGAAATGCAGTTTTTTCTAAAAGGAGAAACATAATTGAACTTACACAGCAGTGTGATAATTATGACAGTTTTTTTCAATCCTGTGACTACACTATGGTGGAAGAACAACCACAATTGCGTGAGTGAGTGAGTGAGTGTGGTTTTACGCCACTTTTAGCAATATTCCAGCAATATCACGGCGGGGAACACCAGAAATAGGCTTCACACATTGTACCCATTTTCGGAATCGAACCCGGGTCTTTGGCGTGACGAGCCAACGCTTTAGCCACAAGGCTACCCCACCGCCCCCCACAATTTAGTAGATTTAGGTCATCACTTAGGATTATAGGGTCATGACATCCAAAGAACAAATGAAACAAGTGTTACCTGTGGTTACAGTTATAAGAGCAGTCAACAGTCAAAGAACATTGCTAACAATCAAACGTCAAACGTCGTACCAGTTACTCGCATCATCACAAATGGCAGATAGAACTTGGCTTGCAGTCCTATATGATTTTCCACAACCAGCCATTTAACGCTGTGGTCACCGAATGTCAAGATCATATAGCATGTGGTTTTGACCAGGGGAGATAATCAAGTAAATCCTAAATAATGCACTGTCACAAAGTACACGAAATTGCATTCGAAGGACGAGGATACACGGCTAGAAAACAGTGAAATATGTTTAGTATAAGTAGACGAGTTATCACGTCCCTCGTATGGAAACATTGTAAAAAAACGGACGTAATATCTCGTCCATCGAATTCAGAGGCTACGGATGGAAAAATCTGGTCGTATGCAAGGGTTGTAGATGCCTGGACATGATATCACGTCCTTAGGATATATGTGCATCTGTGAAAAATTTACGTCGTATGGAAAGAGTTAAAACCATGTTCACTCACTCACTCCATGCGACATGTCAAGTATCCTCTAAGCAGTGTGAAACCTACTCATTCCCTCAGTCCTTGAATTGAATGAAATACAGCAGGGAAGTAGCATTACACCCGACTCACTGGTTTATCTTTACAGACCTGGATTCCTTCCCCCGAGTGTCCGCCATGAACACTGTGAGAGTCCGACTGAGCACCGCAAGTCCCGCAAGCCCCAGGCCTACAACCATGAGTCTGAGAAGATCTTCGCCTTCCCCTCCCTGTACATGAACCTCAAGACATTCCACTACCAGGGAGAACACGAGCCCCAGAACGATGGTGAATACAGGGATTAGGTTATAGAGGGCATTGGGGGACTATCTTCCTCCGAATAAAAGCCGATTTTGTTTAATCTGTAAACTAGTCATTTGTATCATGTTAATTACAAGACTCTAAAATGTTCAGCTGATATGTTTCAGTGCTTGTCAGCCCTCCATCCTCTTTAGTCTCAGTGTGGAAGAACTTACTGCTGCTTTTCTGCACCAAATATATGGAAGGACATAGCCATTCCAGTATGAGATGAGCAATGAATAGAAAGTGTGGTGTCAATTATATAGTCTGCTTCATTGTATATTTATCCCGTCACGCCGAGGACCCGGGTTCGAATCCCCACATGGGTACAATGTGTGAAGCCCATTTCTGGTGTCCCCCGCCGTGATGTTGCTGGAATATCGCTAAAAGCGGCGTAAAACCAAAACTCAGTCAGTTAGTCAGTATATATTTACCCACATTTGATGACAAAATATTCGTTGCTGCCAAGTTAAGTAACACCTTGTCAGTGATGACCCAGATGTGTGCAGTGTTTGTTGCAACATTGCAGATCCCCAGCCAGTGGTTGAAAGCAGCTTTGTGACGGAGTTCTATGACCACATCTTCGTTGCCATGGATGCAGAGGTCATCCTCTTCCTCCACGACCTTGTATCCTCCTACATCAAGGAAAAGGACAAAGGTTGGTACAGTCAGTTCCCTACTTGCAAACTAGCTGTTGGGCTTGGTCATTTACACTCAAGCACGCACACTTGCTCTTTAATTATCCCCCGCCGCACATTAAGAGCAAAGCGGGGGATATAGTATTAGGCTCCGTCCGTACGTACGTACGAATTGGAATATCTTAAGAACTGTTGACTAGATTCTTTTCATATTTGGTACCTAGGTTCATGACAGTATAAGAAAGGTCCCAGTCAGGTTTGGTGACCTTGACCTTCATTTCAAGGTCACAAGGAGACTTTAACGTTTTACCCTTGCAGCGTGCTATCTCAAGAACCGTTCACTGGATTTTCTTCATATTCAACACCAAGCTTTACCTAGGGAAGGCGCAGGGCGCAGTTGCTTTTGGTGACCTTCACTGAATTTTCTAGGTCACAGTGACACTTTGAAGATTTCAGCATGTTAAGCTGCATGTTAAGCTTGTCAGCGAGATACCTCAAGAACCGTTCACTAGATTTTTTTCATATTTAACATCAAGCTTCATCCAGGGAAGGCACAGGGCCCAGTCGATTTTGGTGACCTTCACTGAATTTTCAAGGTCACGGCGACACTTTGAAGATTTCAGCATGTTAACCAGCATGTTAAGATTGTCAGTGAGATATCTCAAGAACCATTCACTGGACTTTCTTCATATTTGACACCAAGATTCATCTAGGGAAGGTGCAAGGTCAAGTCAATTTTGGTGACCTTCACATAATTGTCAAGGTCAAAGGGACACTTTGAAGATTTCAGCATGTTAAACTGCATGTTAAGATTGTCAGCGAGATATCTCAAGAACCGTTCACTGGATTTTCTCCATGGACTTTCAAGATTTCCCTTGAATGTTTTTCAATAAGCTATTATTACTATTTTTGCATATTTCATACACTAAGTCATTCATGTCAAGGTCAAAGTCAGTCTTGAAAATATTTGTGCGTTTGAACAACTACAGAACAAGATATCAAGAGAGGTTGACTGGTCATGTTTTTGTTGACATTTAACTTCATCTTAAATTACGACCTTCACTTACATTACTTTTTAAGTTTGATTTCATATTTTGTGCGGGGGGATTATGTCACCTTAGTGACAATGCTTGTTACAATTTGTACTTTCATTAGAAAGTATGAACCCCCATAACAACTGTTACATCTGACCACTTTGTAAAAGGCTTTGTGTATCTATAGCTTCAGGAGTGGTAACTGACAACTACGCGGTGTAGACTACCAGCTGTCATACATCCATTTTGTGGATAATTCAGTGGTTGAGTGGGTGCTGGCAGTTACATGCCTCAGTCTGGGAGTGTGAGTTCGAGTCTAGGATGGGACTTAACTCAAAATATACGGAACCTGTACTTCAGAAAGTGTATTCAGAAATATTACATATTACATGATTAGGAATAGTTTGAGAATCCCAAATGGCAGGCAAATTTCAGACATAATGAACAAAATTCAACGAGTTCTTTGGAGTGTGTTATGACCAAGTTTTTCCACTTGCCTGTCAAAGGTGCCCGGTCATCCTATGGTCAGGCAGCTAAGGTAGCCAAGGCCACAGACCAGGATAAGAAGAAGTTGACAGACCCAACAGAAGCCTTGAAGCAAGACTACCGAGACTTCCACTGCAAGACGTGGCAGCTTGAACCAACAGTTCGGTAAGCAGATCTCACAAACTCTTCACTCTTGAAGATCCAGGTTAGAATTGATCTTCAGTAACCCATGCTTGTCGTAAGAGGTGACTAACAGGATTGGGTGGTAAGGGTCGCTGACTTGGTTGACACAAGTCGTCGTATCTCAATCGCGTAGATAGATGCTCATGATCACTGGATTGTCTGGTCCAGACTCAATTATTTACAGACCACCATTATATACTAGTAGCTGGAATATTGCTGAGTGTGGCATAAATCTTAACTTACTGACTGACTCACTTACTGATCTCTTACCACATCTCGAGTACTGCATACATCATATCTCAGTGAGAATGTTTCTGTATTTGGTAGTTGGATATCGGTGGGTTCTGTTGTGTTGCAGTTTCTTATCTTTATATCTGTGTCAGATGTACTGCTATTGTTATAAGATTATATTTGAATAATTTTCCTTACAAATATTTAGAAAAATGGATAGTAATTTCAATTTGATTTTCTACAAATATATTGTTCCGGCAAGAATAATATCTCTAGATGTGAAGGATTAAAATTCCTTTTTTAAGCTTAAATGCATTAACATATAACTTCAGATATAATAATTTGAATTATAACGAAAACATCACACATGTTCTGAATAATTGTTATCATAATAGATTATTTTTCATCAAACACAATGAAAACAAATTTACATTCGTAAATGAAAGGCAAGCATATCCAAATATCAGACAAAAAAAACATTGGTCTGCCTTATCAATAAATACTACAGATATGATTACAAAACAAAAACCTGAAAACATTTACTGTTATTTGTGTTTTTAGACTGCTACACTGGGCCAGCAAGCAGATCGACCCAGTGGGTGTGGACTTCGTGCTGCAGAAGCTGGGCTTCTCTCACGCCAGGGTGACCATCCCCAAATGGATGCAGAGAGGAGTGATGGACCCTCTTGACAAGATCCTGTCCATGTTGGTCAACAGCCTTGTGGTGGCTCTCAAGGATCAGCAGGATCGGGATCTTGCGGATGATGTTGATTGAGAGTGGAGCAGAAGGTCCTGTTGATGCTGATTAAAGCCTTGTGGTGGCTCTCAATGATCAGCAGGATCGGGATCTTGTGGTTGATATTGATTGAGAGTGGAGCATAAGGTTCTGTTGATGCTAATTAAAGCCTTGTGGTGGTTGTTAGAATCAGCAGGAGCGGAATGTTGATGATAATGTAGACTGAGAGAGGAGTGTAGTGTCCTGTTGATGCTGGTCAATAGCCTTGTGGTGGTTCTCAAGGATCAGCAGTACCACAGGGTTGTTGACAATGTAGACTGAGAGAGGAGCGTAGTGTTCTGTTGATGCTGGTCAATAGCCTTGTGGTGGTTCTCAAGGATCAGCTGGATCGGGATGCTGTGGATGATGTGGACTGAGAGAAGAGCAGAGTATCTTGTTCATGATTACAGCCTGTTGGTGTCTCTCAAGGGTCTTTATGTATAAGACCAGAAGATTGTGGATGGTCTAGGTTGGAGTGGAGTGTTTGATCCCATCAATGCTGGCCAATAGCCTTGTGTTGACTCTCCAGGATCTGTAAGATCAGCACATAGTGATGATTCAGAGTAATGGCTAGAGAGGGTGGGATCCCTGGACCCTGATGGCCTTAATCATGGCCTTAGCAAGGCTCTTTGGATATGTGCTGATGGTGAGCTTGTGTTGTTTCTCACTGTTAGTGCACGCCACACACACTAAAAGTGGAGTATGACCTTGATTTAGCCCTGACACCACAGCTTCTGTTGAGAAACTTCAATAAACTCCAACTGGCATCTAGATTTGAAGAATATTACACCATAATCCTTAATTGAGTGGGAATACATGGTTTGGTTATCAAACTGCTTGAGCCAGAGGACAACTTCAAACAACCAGAGTGTACTTCAGTTAACAGTCTCCACTGACAGACAAACAACAGTGGTAGAGACATGGAAGTTTGGGTATAGATTTTAGTGTTCGTCGATGCCACTACGCATATTGAAACAATATACATGGCACTTATCAGCCTGACAGTACTGAAGGTGAGAACATGGGCCTACTTGTAGCCATAGACAAAATGATATGATGCTGATCGTGAGGTGAAGTTGAACTTGAGATGAAAAGCTTATATGTATATGTTCAATTCATTTCTTGTGTGTAGACAAAATGTACTGTTTTATCTTCCAGAGTTCAACACTGACTTAAAACATTCATGGAGCTACAATTGTTATATTCTTTCATAGTTTATAGTAGACTTATGGCAGTTATTGCACTGCAGTTGTCATATCTCCCATAGTTTAGCATGTATTTAACCTGCAGTTTAACATACATAGCTACAGTTGTATTTTCCATGGTTAATCATACCAATGACAGTGGAAGTGCTACAATTGCTTTGTGAAACAGGACCCTCTTTTGCAGAATGTAATGACAACATATCAGTATTGATCCTGTGATAATTGGTCTGTCAACAAGCAATATACTAGCATTAACGCAAAACCAAATGCTCACAAATCTAAGGAGGTGAAATCTCATTGATGTCGGCTCACGAGTGTGATGATGATATATAATCCAACAACTTGTACATGTTGAAACTTGAATGTATTCCTCAGTCAGGGCTTTGTTTTACAAAGCTATCGTAGCTCTACGACTGTCGTACCTCCAATACTGTAACGTACACTTACGACAGTCGTGCTACGATAGCTTTGAGAAACGGGGCCCAGGCCTGACAGGTGTGTCCAGGTGTTGTGTGAAGTAGTTAGTATGTACATGACCATGTCATGAATAAGTGTTTTAATAGTGCTGCATTGGTTCCATCATTGTTACATTCCATCATGTTGAGTCAGCATTATTTGAGAGTGAAAAAAGACGTGAAGATTCACCACAGCTTGAGGATAACTGTATTCTGACTAAATCCCTTTTGTCAGTTTTGACGACGGAATGTTTTCTGCGAAATTCCATGTGTTTTGTGGATGTTCGTTGACTCTAGTTTGCTACAGTTGTATAACACTATTACTAATTTTTGTTTTATAAAAGCAGCTGAGAAGAAACATGTATGCAGATAGGACACGACATTAGGATAGTACTGGAATCTATACTTTACTGAGAAAGTTATAATGCCAAATATTTAACATGTGCTACATTTGACCATTTCTAAAAGGCATTGTGAATTCATACTTAGGATATGTTTACATTGACACTGACATAGTCACAAAAACATTAAGGCATTAACAGAGGTGAGGCAGAGTGGAGAAGGTGTTTTCTTGTCACATGGGTGCCATTCCTCAGACCCATGAAGATCCGGGTTAGAATTGATCTTCAGTGAGGTGAGGTGAAATGGGGTTTAACATCGTACTTGAGAATATTTCGTTCATACGACGTGCTTGCGTGTGTATGTGTGGCTGCTTGTACTAGCCAAGACTTAACTGGTTTTATAGCGCTAGCTCACTGAAATACCATGCCGCAGTTAAGCATGAATACCCCACACAGACACATTATATTGACTCCGAGCCCACCAGTCCTTGTTTTACCTAATAATGCCGAGCACCAGGCAGGGAACTGATCTTCAGTAACCCATGCTTGCCGTAAGAGGCGACTAATGGGATGGGGTGGTCAGGCTCTCTGATTTGTTGACACATGTCATCATATCCCAGTTGCCTAGATCAATGCTCATGCTGTTGATCACTGGATTGATTAGTTACAGACCACCACCATATAGCTGGAACATTGCTGAGTGCAGTGTAAAACTAAACTAAACTCACTCACTCACCCATTCCTCACATGTTAAAAGCAAGATAAAACCACTCACTCACTCACTCACCCAATCCTCACATATGTTAAAAGCAAGATAAAACCACTCACTCACTCACCCAATCCTCACATATGTTAAAAGCAAGATAAAACCACTCTCACTTACTCTCTCACTTACTCACTCACTCACATGATTTAGGTCACAACTACATACACATTGAGGACATCCATATATCGGCCAGATTGATCCTGTCACCTACACAATCTGTTGGATCAGATACATAGCTAAGGGACTGCATACAAGACATTCCTACATCAGCTAGATGCATCATTTGATGCCCAGGGCTTGAATTGCAATGTGCCAGTGCATCCCGTTCTTGAATACTGCAACCTGATACTAATGTCTACATTCACCAAGTGCAGATCATAACTTTGCTTAACCCTTACATGTCCACACAACATCAACCTTTGAACACATACCTCTAAGCTTGATTTACCTTGCAATGTCAACAATTCCATGAGTGTAACAGGTAATGCTATTTGCTGTAGTGAAACTGTGGGTACATCAATATGCACATATGTTGTCTTTGGTGAATTTAACAAGGGTGCAACCTGTTTTTGTCTAGTGCAACTAGGTTTTCAATTCAACACGCCCCTGGTGCAATTTAAATCAAACCATATCAAGCCCTTATCACTTAATTCAAATACAAGTCCGACTGATTGCATGCCTGAAACGCACACTGTACAGTGATCAGATAACTTAAGGAATGTTGGGGTGGTGTCATGGTCATAATAAATTGAATAAGTTAAAGTACAATATTCTCTCTATAATCTAATAGCCTCTCTCAGGAATATGTTCAGTGCCATCTGCATTATTTACTCAAGCTACTATCTTGGCAAAAGTAATTGTTTTCATTTTTATATGATTTACCAATATTGTTGAGATTTCTCACATTTTTCTCTTTAGTTATTAAGATTGTTTTCAATGTTGATATTGTATATAATTCTAATTTATTATTAAATTTCCTCATCTCTTCCACAAGACATTTGTCATTCTAGCTCTTTCTAAGCTGTGTCAAGTACAAAACCAGTGGGTTGAAATACAACATCAAAGCTCTTTGTTTTGGGTTGGTTCTTTTTTTTAATATTACTTATAGCTTCACTTTTTGGTACAAGTAAATGATATTTTTCTAACTTGGAACCTATTCATGTACATTTCACTTTGATTTTCATACTAAAGTTTGAGAATTAAATTTTTTATGTAATAATTAAGCTTATTGCATTTTGTAGTTATAATTGCTGTAAGATATATTTACATATTATATATTTGGATTTCTTTATGAGGAATGGTTTATTTATTGTTGCCAACTTCCCAAAGATTTTATTTTTGTTGCAAATTCACAGCTGGAATAAGAAAACATGAGTGCCCCCCTTAATTCTATACAAATGATATTCCAATCAGCAAACATGGGTACAATGTGTGAAGCCCATTTCTGGTGTCCCCTGCCGTGATGTTGCTGGAATATTGCTAAAAGCGGAGTAAAACCAAACTCAGTCAGCCAATCAGCAAAAATAGAATCACAAGATCAACTTTTGTAAGGACATTGGTAAAGAGAGTCATGATTAATCTTATACTCTCTACTTCTTCATTTCTTCATTGACTGGTATGAAGTCTTAATATGGAGTAACATCTATCCAGTTAGAGGGGATTGTAGTTTCAGAATCAGATGCCGATTATTCAAATCCGCTGAAATATTGTAACAAAATATTAATTGTAATTTGGGAATGTTGTCAGCTCGGTATACTTATTTTACTTTGAATTTGATCATCTCTACCATCAGAATTTGTTAAATGTCTATACACATTGATATGGAGATAGAAGCAATGTGCATCATATATGTATAATATTCTATTGCAGAATTAATGCTTAATATTTATTTTATAATATGTAATTATAAATATAAGTAATTGTACATAGATGCATACAAAAGAGCCTGCAAGTTATCATGTAGTTAGTGAGTAAAATGTCTTTATTATTGCTATGGAGTAGACGTGATGATATGACATTCAGTGCAGTGTCAGCAGCTGTTGTCATGGCAACAGAAGATGAAGATGTACAGTTGGTTGGTTGGTTGGTTGGTTGGTTGGTTGCTTGTTTAATGCCGCTCTCAGCAATATTCCAGCTATTGGCGGCAGTTTGTAAATAATTGAGCCTGGACCAGACAATCCAGTGATGAATATCGTCCTATTCAATTGAATATGTACAGTACAAGATGTTACAGGGGTTTAGTCTGAACAGGGAACAACTAGATCTTACTTTTATCTATCAGTACCTTTATATGTATGTGTATGAACTCACTGTGCTTATTCAGTATTCACCTGATCGTAGGTGCGAGAAGTAGCAGCCATGAAGTGTCATTGCAAACAATGAACAAGTTATCCATTAAAATGTTGTGTCTTTTTGCTGTGCATCACTCACAGATGCGAATTGCAGGTAGATTGTTTCACAAAGGAGAGGTGCCTATATACGGGGCAATTTGTTGGGTAGCCTTGTAATTAATAATTAATTAATTATCATGAACAATTTGTAGTGTTGTAATATGTTTACACTTAATAATACCCAAATATAACCTTCTAAGTGTATATAATAGGTTAAGTATTCACACTGTTCCAGTGTGTCCATCCATCCATAGCACTTGTTTTGAGAAATCACAATATTTACCTATGGCAGATGTTTTATGTGGCATATTGCCACGACAGTACACATGTATAAAGTTGTATGGTCTGTGGAGACTCTCAGTATTAGTTTTGTGTTGCTGTGATGTGACTGAGGTAAATATTGCTTCTGTGTTGAGAGTCCAGTTATGACTCACTGCTAATAGCTGCAAGATTGTCATTGTGGTGATACACAATAATCACACTAAGAGGGTGGAGTCAGCCTAAAGTAGGCAGGGCATGTTACTGTGTATATTGCAGTTGTTTTTTAACTTGTGGGCAAGTGTAATGACTGTGGCAAAGTGTTTGAACAAAATTAATGTGATATCTGTTAGCTGTGAAATCATAGTCAAGTATGTCTCTGCTTAATAGTCCCATATATGTCAGATCCCAAAAGCAGAGACTTCCATATAGCTACAATTTCACAGCTACAGACCCGTGCAATAAGTATTTGGACACTTGACATCATTTCCATACACTTGTTGTTTCAGTGTAGCATAAATAATTTTCATGAAGTGAGTTTAGGATGGATCTTTGTAAAATTTGACAGGCAAATTTGAAATCATATCTGCTCTGCGCACATAATTTCAGTTCAAATTTCCGACCACTATTTAACTAATGACATCACATTTATCAACTTATGTATGGTTCCACAATGCACAATCCCATAGGTCGCCATGTTAAAGGAGTTCATGCCACTGTACATATGTTGATTAAATTGTTGCCATTCAATAAATAAGCAACGGAAAATTAAACAGAAATTATTTGATTGTAGGTAAGATTCCTCACAAATGTGCAAAATTTGACTTGGATCTTACGAAAATTGAATTCATGAAAATCATTCATGCTACTCTAAATTAACATGTAAGTCTATGGAAATTGTCCGAATACTTTTTGCATGACTCTGTAGATATTTATTTGGTTTTATCTGTGACTGACAGTCCTGTTGAAGGTAAGCTGATTCAGATGTAGTCACTGGACTACTTCATGTGAAGCTAACAGTGATAATATATTTTACTTTCTTGTATTTTCATTTAATTCTCTGTGTTATTTTTAATTATTATTATTTTATTTAATAATACGTTTTAGTTACACTGTATACAAATATGTAACTGTGTTCTGACAAATAAGGAAATACACTTCACAAGAAGTTAAATAAAATCCCATTCTTTCATATAGCTATAGCCAGTCTCTTGAACTGTATATATTGAATATGACATATCATAACAATTTAAGTTGATTCCATTTCACATTTTGAAAGATACATATGAATGGTAATGTTTAGTAAATTTCAGATTGATAATTTGTTCTGATGCTTTTGAAAATTTGATGTGGTTAAATACCATATTTTTCTGTAGTTAAAATGGTTTGAAATAGCCTGAGAACTTAAGACTATTCATGTTGCCTGTGCTTCCATCATGTAAATTGTTAAACAGTGTCCAGCAACACAGGCATATTGATAGATAGAAATGCGCAGAACTAATGAATTTACTTGATGTGATTTTCCACTGAATAAAATGTGCATAGTATATATCTCACTTGTGTTGTTGTTGCCAGTCAACTCTGAGGTCTATACATTGCCATGGAGGAGGAACCAACTGCCCCACTGATGTCACCACTTGATTTTTAGTTTGTGAGTGAGTGAGTTAAGTTTTACGCGGCACTTAGCAATATTCAAGCTATATGGCGGTGGTCTGTAAATAATCGAATCTGGACCAGACAATCCAGTGATCAACATCATCGATCTACGCAATGGGGATGTGATGACGTGTCAACCAAGTCAGCGAGTCTGACCACCCGATTTAGTCGCCTTTTACAACAAGCATGGGTTACTGAAGATCAATTCTAACACAGATCTTCACGGTATTTATCACAAGACCACCCATCACAGGTTTTGCTGCTTAGAATGATACGTCATGGAGAATAGTAGAACTTTTGTGTGCACTGCATTCTTCAGTCAGCCATGAATACATTGTCAATACATCATTTTTCCTTATCCTGACTCATGCTCTTTTGCTTGTCTTCTTCTTCTTGCGAACATAGTGGAACACTTGTATCTCCTTAATTGAAGCTCCCTTCAATGTAAAATCACTAATTAGTACTCACCAAGAGTTGCCTCCCTTTGCCTCTGCGCGGGAAAAAGTGGCGCCACCCTCTGGCCTCATGCTTCACTCTCTCCTTCTTCGCCCAGTGAGCAGGATGTGAGAGCGCCTGTGTCTCCTTACACACTATATCCTTTGGTTTTTCTTAGTTAGTTACCTCCTATAGGTTACTATAGAGGTATAGCTAGTATCCTTCATTAATATGTATTGATAATTAATCGTATTTCTACTGTTTATTCACGTGAGTTCGTGATTGTTCAGCTAGTATTACGTTGATGAAAATCTGTACTATTTGTAGATTACGTTTTTCTGCTGCTGACCCGCATGTAATATGCCCTAGTTGTTCTACGCCTAGTGCGTTTGATTCACGTTGCAGTTACTGCATTAATCTATCTAATTCTGCTTTTAATAAATATCATCTTTGCGTCTTGAGACGTGCAGCAGATAGGTCACGCAAACAAGGGTTAGACATGGCCGATACATCGGAATCCCCATCCAGTCAGCTGCTGTTGGTCGACCCCCTCCCGTCTGGTGTTCTGCTAGAGTTTCCCTCGGAGGAGGGGCGTGGGATGCAGTCCGCTGCCTTCAAGAAGCGTCCTGCCTCCCCAGACATCCCGTCATCGCAGCCAAAGTCTAAGAGGGCCTCGGCGTCTACTCAAGCGCAGACTCCGTACCCCCAGGGCAGCGTCTACCTCCAAGGGAAAGTCTACGAAGTCGTCAAGAACTTTCTCAGCCGAGATCGTTCCAGCCGCTGAACTGGGCCTCTACGATGATCAGCCGATCATCATCCCCGACCTACGCCACAAGAAGCGACCGGTGACAGCTACAGTGACGTCAGCAGAGATCGCCATGCAGCCTGATGTGTCTACACCGATGTCGGGACGATCTCCCTGAGGGGCCCGCCGCTAACATCGCAGAGAGGGCACCCACTACGCCGTCGCAGACCGTCCCAGATGAACTGATGCGGAAAATCATGATCATGATGGAAGACCACTACAGACTGGGAAGCAGCCAGCCAGGGCGAAGGCTCCAACGCAGAGCGACACCCCAGAGGGACCCCCGCCAACGAAGCGGCCACGCACGAAGCCATCTTCGCTGAAGGAAGTCACAGACCACCTCGACGAAGGACCCAGATGTACAGCCTTCGCGAAGGCCTTACGGCGGGATAGATCATCACCTTCCTCGGCTTCATCCTTAGATGCGGACTCAGACCAGACTTCCAGAAGCCTTCGCGAAAGTCAAGCCGTTCCCCAGGACTGGACGCAGAGGAAGCAGCGAAGGCCTTCGAAGGGCACCTGGCTCCAGATCATCTTCGTCCAGAAGGACATCGAGGGACTCCACAAGAGCTTCGCGAAGCTATCAACATTCACCTCACAGGTCTCCGCGAAGGTCAACCCATAGACGCAGATCACCAAGACGATCACCTCCGCGTTCACCGCGCCGATCTCGTTCATCACCACGTCGATCTCCTCGCAGGTCACCACACAAGTCTGCACAGAAGTCTACAGTCAGGTCACCCGGCACAGTGGTAGAAGCACACAGTCCACCATCTGAAGAGCATCAACCTCTCATCAGCGATCCTGGGGTAGAAGATGATGGAGGCATCATTTTCTCAGACGCTGAGATACGATATTGGATGGTAAACAACCTAGACCTTTCTTCACCTTCCAAGAGTGGCAACTCGGCGCATACCTACCTGATGAAGGAAGACGAGGCAGACGCCGTCACCCTTACCGATCGACCGATTGCTGCGGTGCCACAGAATCTAGATACAGCCTTCCATAAAGCCACGAAAGTTCAGACGCCACACCTACCGAACTTTCACGCTAAGAAGTTCTCAACTCATAACATGGACCCCTTCTTCAAGGCACAAGACATCGATGACAACTACAAGCTGATCAGCGATGTCAAGAACAAGAACTACAAGATTGACGATCGCAAGCTGGTGCAGATAGAAACCATGACGAGACGCATGTTCTTTGGCCTTAATAGATCTAGAACGATCAATGAGACACTTATCACCAGATTTCGTGACACGACTTCTGAAGATGATAGGATGATCTACTCGGCCCTACTGATGCAAAAGAAGGACCAGCAGATCCTAACGGATCATCTTACATCAGTCTCAGCAGCGCTAACCTTAGCTCGTCGTCAAGGCCTCCTCGCTTCCTGCAGCTGGGGTGAGAACTTTACAGCTCCACTCTATACAGCCCCGTGGTCCTCCCCATCCATCTTTGACGGAGGAATAGAGAAAGTCTCCAAGGAAGTCACTAAGGATTCCAGAGAAGTCCTTATGATTAAGTCGATGGACACGCTAGCCAGCGTCATCAGACAGACTTCACAAAGATATTCAGGGAGATCTAAATTCACTGGATTACAGAGAGCACGGGATAGGAAGATGGCCAGCTCCAGGGGAAAAGATTCTTTTCGTCGACCATATGGCAACTATAGAGGAGGATCAGGAAGAGGCATGGCACCCAGAGGTTCCCGCAACTATAAACGCTGAAAGACAGGTTCGGAACGACTGGAGTCTTCCACCCCCAGCCGTTCCAGTACAACCGTCACAAGTGGGTGGACGCCTTCAACTACACTGGCAGAACTGGGGAATGTTACAAGACCCTTAT